ATGTTTTGAACTCCCAGTGCTGCTGCTGCTGCTTTTTAATGGCTTTCCCTCTGTGTCAAATAGGATACCTGATACAGGTCTGAGCCAGCAGGAACCTTTATGTTCTTATTTTTCTTCATCTTACCCATCTCCCTCACTAATTTTTCCAGTCCATCTGGGCTACAGGGACACAATGCAAAAGATTGAGCAATGTTGGCCCCAGCTTTCCAGTTAAACACAAAACAAAACACAGAAACAGACCAATCCTCCTAACAGTTTGGAGAAAAAAAAACTGGTCACGGGGAATTCCTGGCTTTCGAAGCTGTTTGGTTTCCCAGCTCCTCCTGCAACAACCATTTGGGAATTGTCCTGGAATTCTTTCTTTGGAGGGGTGTGTGTTCTGTTTCCTCCTGATCATCCAAGTTGTGCTGAATGAGAGGATGACCTCTTCTTCCAGATAGCCTGCAGCACCGGCAAAAATGGGAGGAATCGGGGATTTCAATTCAAAGGATTGGTTGTTGAACAAAACCTTCTTTTTCACTCTCTTTTTAACTGGAAGAGTTGGATGTAGATCTATAGTTAGCAGTTTTGGCACCTAGGGGTGTCTTACTCTATTAGCTAACCTAGGTTCACACGAGGTTGCTGTATGTAGGAAGAGGATGGAGAAATGGGGAAGATCACCTGGTTCTAAGCATGGAAGAGGTGTCTTGCTCATGTGCTGAGCCCACCTGCTTCATGTCTCCTCCTGTCTGAGAGGAACAACTGGAGGCAGCCAGAGTAGACGTGATCAGGGTAGACGGACTTGCACATTGTCAAAAGCAATGGGCTGATGCATCTCCTCCCCATAGCAAATCTTTGCGTTTTCGTTGTGGCTCTGGTTGAAGGTCCCCTTGAAACTTTTAGGTGTGTGGTAACTCCTTGTCAATCTGACTTTCAAAGAAGAGAAGAACTAAACCATACAGTATTTTTTTTACATGTTTGGGTGTACTCCTCACAATTTGTGGTTTTTTTAAAAAAAGGGAATTTGAAGTATAAACTAGATCTGTCTTCCTTCCTTCTTTCCTTCCCTCCCTCCCTCCCTCCCTCCATCTGTTCCACTTGGTTATTCATCCATTTCATTTTTGTTGTCTTCCTATAAACCTAGTTGAACTCTGCCTGCCTAACTTCCTACGTGACGTATACTTAGTCATGTATTATCACAGCAGTTCTACATTTTAAAAAAAAGGAAGAAAGAAAAGAAAAAAAGATCAGTCAGAATTAATATTTAGAGTCAGACTCATGTGTGAAGATGGTACCTGCATTAGGCAGGACCCACTGGGCCATCCAGTCTACTCAAAAACAGAAAATTCTGGACTGGATAGACGAGAGTTTTGTATCTTCTCTTGATGTTTGCAGCTCACAGGTAAAGTGGCTGAGAAAGAGAAGAAGATGCCGAACCAAAGAAAGAAAGTGCAGAGTAATGTATATCTGTAGCCAGGGCTATTTATACTGGTGGATTAATTCATCAGAGGGATGGGAGAGCAGGCTTTCAAAGCTGGCCCAGCTCAGTTACTGCTGCTGCTGCTGCTGTGAATTTTCTTCTGCACAATGGTCTTGTGTTGAGAAGCATTTCCCCAACTGTTCCTGACCCCTTTCTTCTGTTCTCCAAGGTGGCAGAAGTCCATTACAGGGTCTCTTTTCTCAGTCACAAAAATTAATACAGGAAATAGACTTGAGGCACCTTTTCAGTCACTTTTCACACATTGGCTTGGTTGCAGCCTCAACAGATGGGACACCAGCAGCTATAAACTCTGAGGTGCTCCAGAGTTTCTATGAAACATACCTCTCAATATTTGGGAGAGGAATGGTGTTAAGCTGGTTCATGAATTTCCAGAGGGGGTAGATATGTTAGTTGATGGCAGTTAAAACAAAACAGTCTTACCTGGAGATAATAAAGAGCTCAATCTGTCATACAGTTAGCACGTGATTAGAAGCAGAGCTTAGGAAAAAAATGTTTGTCCTGCCTCAGGTTCCTCACATCTGAATTTTGCAAACCAACCTGCTTTCTTTGGAGAGGGGTCAGTGAGAGGTAAACTTTGGACATGTCATTTTACTGTTGTCAACTCTGGCTGGCAGCCTGGGTTTCAGAAAGATGTGCCTTTCTCAGCCCTAGTTGGCATTGAACCTGGGGCCTTTCTGCATTCCAAGCAGAGGCAGTTCTTTTTTGAGCTAAGCCCTCTCTTCAATAGAGCTTGCTTAACACTGCAATGAAGATGGGCGAACATTTAAAGGAAGGATTGCCAAGGGAAGGCTGCTCATTTTTGTACAGTCTGTTTGCATGGCGGGGGTGATCTGTGATGATCAGTTCTGATTTGTAAACACTAGGAATGTAAATACAAAATTAGCATAATGGAGCATCATGCACAGACAGGCAGCCACAACAAAGAGAGGAATAAGGGCTCCATCCAGGCGCTCACTGGTTCAGATGTTGCCTGATTCTAGGATGCCAAGGCATGTCCACGGACATTTTAATTGCTGGGGCACGGGGACTGTTTGGTGAGAGCGAAGTAGGCAGTCCTGTTCTATCTGGATAGTCAACATTCCCTTTCAGCTGGGGGAAGAGCAGGAGCTGACAGCAGCACTTGGGAAGTTACTTTTCCTTGCCTACAATTTGGGGAATCTCTCAGAGGCAGTGGGAGTTGCAGTCTGAAAACTATGATCTCCCTTTCCTGATCTCTGACATAAGCGTTTCCGGGACAAGCATTTTTGTCTTTGCAACAAACTTAAGCGGTGTGCATAAAAAGCAAAGGCTGGATTTGCTCTTGAATATCTGGTGGCTCAGAATAATTTGAAAGTCTGCTTACTTCTTGACAGCTGCCGTACGGTTGCCACCTGACTGATTTTTTCTGGAGCTACTTATGGCTTGTTTTCCCCTCCCACCCATTTCAACTACCATCTGGCTTGCAGCAAGTGAGTCTGTGATGGCTGCGGAGAATTAGCAGATTAATTCCCTCCTTCCCTCTGCAAATAACTAGTGGAAACTGCTAATTGCTCTAGATTCCCCCCCCTTTTTTTAAAAAAAAAAAAACATGTTTACTTGTAAGAGAGAGAGAGAGAAAGAGACTAAGACCTGCTCAAGGGCAAACCAATCAGTACTGTTGCAAAGTGGTTTAGGTCTCTGTCTGCAGAGCCAGAGGTTGGGAGTTTGATTCTCTACTGGGCCTCCTTGACAGGGGCTGGACTCGATGGTCCACAGGGTCCCTTCTAGCTCTGTAGTTCTAAGATTATTGTTATTGTCAAGCCTGATGTAACAGCCATCTTTACTAGATTACCCATGGTTTACTTACTTATTCTGGATTTTGTCATATGCCGTACTGACCCATGGGAGCTTGTGGAAGGGATTTCTCTTCCCTCACCCAATGTTTGTGTAATAAGGTGGTCGGTGGAAGGAAGAAGATACTTCTGTTTCACATTTTATTCCATTTTAGAGTGTCTGTATGCAGCTACATGTTTCACAGTGACTAAGAGTGCATTTAAAAACCAACAGTAGTTGCGTCAGCTACTAGAAAAAAACCAAATCTGCAGTGGTAACATGTCATTGTGGAGCCAACCAAAAGAGCACAAAAAACCCCATATCTGCCTTTGCATTTAACCAAGATTGGCAGCATCAGAAATCAGACAAGGGCTTCAGCTTGCTGGCAGACACCTAAGGAGATCAGGGCAGAATTGGCGAGTTAGTTTAACCTGGTCAGGCACATGCCATAAAGACAATATATCACTGGTATTGAGTCTTCTGTGCTGGCTTCCAGTTTGCTTCATTCTGAGCCCAATCCATGGGGGTGGCGTTGATTCCCAAAGCCCTAAACAGCCTGGGGACAAAGTACCTCAAAAACTCCCTCCTGCCCCAACATATGTATCTTCCTTTAATTTTGAGCCCTTCCGATGTGGCTCTGTAACACATCTCAGGCTGGAAAACAGACAAGGCAGGGTTTCCTAAATAGCCCAGACTGTGGAATTCCCTCTCAAGGGAACCAGGCTGGTTCTGTCCTGATTCAGCTTCTGAAAGGTGTCCAGAACTGTATTATTTTGTAAATCTTCTGCCCTTTATAACCATTTTTAAGGCTGGCCTTGAAATTTGTTTGTGGCATGTTTTTGAATGAATGTTATCTTTAAAAAAACTTTTTGTTGCTTGTTTTTTCCTGCACAATTACAGCCACTGTGTAACTGCCGCTCCCTCCAAAATCTGTATGTCCTTACCAGAACGTTCAGGGATCTACTTCATCCTTAATGCCTGTCTGTTTAGCAAACAGCTCCAGAGCATGTAGAAACGGAGTGATACAGTGCCTGGAGAACTGTAATGGCACCAGGTTCTACCATCCATTGAAATTAGATCACTGGGTGACCCTTGACCAGTCTCCCTTTCTCAGCTAGGCCTAGCTCATAGGGCTGTTACTCTGAGGATAAAATGGGGGAGTAGGAAAACCATGTACAGCCCCTTGAACTTATTGGAGGTGATAGGCACAGTACAAACATAGAAATTAAGAAATGATAAATAGTACATGTTGTTTGGATATTCTTAAGAATGTGGATAGTCTTAATTCATGAGATTCCAAAACACAAAGATGAAGTTTACAGAAATCTATAAACAAAGGGGCTGATGGATTATTTCTGTGCATCCATTGCTTTGGGGAAGATGGAGAGAGATTCCCTTCCCCCTATTTCGTAGTTTTCATTTGAAAGACAAGGTAAGTTTCTAGTCTTCAAGGCCACCAAGGAAAACAGAGCAGGGCTAGGACATTCTGCACCTGCTGGCTTCAGGACCAGCTGGAAATTATACAGATCAAGCAGGTTGGTGTAGTGCATGCCTTTTGTGTAATTCCTTGAACCTTAGCTCTGTGTCTCATGCAGATTTGGGGGCTTGGATTTGGCAAGCTGAACAGACATGACATGGAGCAACCATTAGGGAAATGAGCTTGCAGGAGAAGTGCTTCCTGCCAGACCACTCTCCCTACTGAACAAATTTCATCTCCTTTTCTCCTTAGGAAAACAGCTTGGGGAGGAACCAGGAGAGAAGGATCAGGACAGTGTGTGTAAGAGAGAGAGAGAGAGAGAGATAGAGAGATGGCGGCTTCCCAGCCAGGTGTACCTTCTTCACCAGGTACCATCAACCTTTGCCTAATGGAGGCCACTGCTTGCTTTCCTTTTGATTTCAGGCAGAGAGGCAGAAATTATTAAGGAATCAATATGGCCCCATCCTACAAATTCCTGGGATCTGTTGTGTTTTTTGCTAGGGAGCTCTCTTGCCTTCCCCTGAACTGTAGCATGGAATTCCAGCTTGCTCACTGGGACGCAGCAGGATTCTGTACGAGGAAGCCAGAATGCTTAAAAGTGGCACCCAACTGGTAGAAGGTAGAAGACCTACGTTGAACTGGTCATATAGATTCTGCAACCTATAAAGAAGGAAAATGGCTCATAGTCCTTATTTATTTACTACTGAAATTTCCTTCCCTCCCAGAGTTCAAGGTAGTGTTTTTATCTCTCCTCTAACTTATTCTCATAACAATTCTGTGAGGGAATTCAGAGAGACTGACTCAGGATCTTCCAGTTAGTTTCATGGTTTAGCAGTGAGATTTCTACCTGCGCCTTCCCAGTCTGACACTCTAATCATTGCACCCCACTGCTCTCCAGAACAATATATAAGAGGAGCATGCTTGTCCTGTGAAAGGTTTTCTCTACTGTCACACCCCTCCCCTACTTCCTGCTTCTGCTTCTGCCTCTCTCACTCCTCTGTTTTCTAGACCACTACATTTTGTTGTTGATTTTCTTGTCCCAATTCACCTTGTGACCAGTGAGATCTGAAGCCTTCTATGCATCCACATGCCAAGGTCTGTGATTTGAATGGTCGTAGATGGACCCTCTTTGTTTTGTGCTGGTAATTGTGACAAGGAAAATGGTTTCTCTCTCTGTGTGTGGGGTGGAAGCTTTCTGAAAGTTGTTTTCCTCCTCAATACATATAATCCAGACTGCAGATTATGCTTCTTTGGATCAAGAAGCAGACGGAGAGAGGACAGCCTTTTCCAAAGCCAAGCTGTTACTAGGCAGGTTTTGCAGGTGGCAGAGATGTTTATGCCTCAGCAGAATTAATCCCCTGTGTTTGGGGCAGCTGGTCACAGCAAGGCAAGGAGAATGTGTGTGTGTGTGTGTGTGTGTACTAAATTAAGAGCAGCCAGAAACTAGACACTCTGAGAGGAACTTTGGTAGATGTGTTCCAAAGTGACCTAGAAGCCAGGAAGGGAGGGAGAAGATCACACCCATCTCTCTCTCTCTCTCTCTCATGCACAAGCGCACGCACGCACGCGCGCGCGCGCGCGCACACACACACACACACATGCACAAGCGCGTGCACGCACGCACGCACTCTAAAATGGAACAAGTGTACTCCCTAAATTAAAGAGTGAGGAACTGGTAGCCTTCTGGAAATTATGGGTCTTGAATTCCCAACAGCCTCTGCTACCCTAGCCAATGCTGAAGGTTGATGGGAGTGGTATTTTTTTCAACATATGGAAGGACAAAGGTTGCCCATACCTTCCCTAAGCAATAAAAATCCCCTCATCAGGTACAGAAAAATTTTAATTTAATTTCTTTTACCAAAGTTATTTTACCCTCCCTCTCTCTTGTCTTTCTCCGTTCTCTGTATCTCTTAGAATGCTCAGTTTTTTAAAACGCATCTCTGCCTTTCTTCACAAGATGTCTGAGTTAGATAGTGCATAATGAAAATAAAAATATATCCTAATGAACACACTTATAAGAGCAGAGGTTAAAAACAAACAAACAAACAACTGCAGATAGAAAAGGCTAACCGTGCAGACATGATCAAGGAGACAACAATACGTGCCAGAACTGATTCGGACTCTCCTTGGAAGGGTGGTTTGGGTGGCAGTTCCTGGGAGTGCCTGTCCTGATATGGCCACTTGGAAAGCCCCTCTCTGCTTGATTTGAGACCTTGGAGCTCAGCTGTAGAAAAATGACCTTTTTGGGCTCTAGCATCCAGAATTCCTCAGGAAGGAGATCCTGGGTACTAGGGGCAAAATCGGTAAATTTTGGTGGTCTTATGAACCAATAGGCTGACACATGGTCAAAATCTACATCACAGATGAATATATCAAGACTATCTGGAATCATGTTAGTGATCTCAACAGATCTTCTTCATGTCTGAGAAATTAGACTTGGAGATGAAGCCCAAGTCTACTTCCAGAAGACCACACTGAGCAAAGTGTTTTAATGAGGTGTGAAGGTTTTTGATGCTTTTGGCAGTTAAGGAATTCCCACTTCTAATGATTCGAGATGCAATGCAGCTTCTTCTTTTCAAAACTGGCTGAGAATCAAGTTTGTTCATTGGCGGTTCTTCCCTAACCCACCGCTGCTTTCTTATCTCCGTGCAGGAGGAGAGGAGGCTGCTCAGGGCGTTCTAGAGATCTCGACAGAAGGCGAAGACGATGCAGGAGAGGCCTTTGATTTTGAAGACAGTGAGGAGGAGGAGGAGGAAGACAGCAGTCACCTCGTGGTGAGCAATGCCAGGACGGAGCTGGGCTCAAGAGGGGCCCTGCAAGATCCTCCCCCAAGGCGGCGATCCAGCATCAGTGATGACCTTGAACCTGTGGATGATTGGGATGAAGAGGAGGCACTCCTAGAGGATCGGGTCCCACTGACCCCTTCGGACTCTGGCACAAATCTTGGTAAGAGCAGCCGGGTGGTGTGTCCAGGAGCTCTGGAGGATTGTGGGAGTTGTAGTGGAGGAAATGGCCATGCCAGCTGGCATTCTGAATAAGTCACAGGCCCAAGCCCTGCCTGTTCCCATGCTCTGGTTCTTGCGTACCCATTAACATATTACTTTCTTCTTTTTCCTTTTTAGGAGATCCCTTTGGCTCTCAGATGCAGTCAGAGTAAGTGGCTCTTAATTCTTAAATGGAAAAAGAAAGCTGGTGTTTGTGGCCTGGGGGAACACCCCTTGTTTCTATCTTCTCATTCTTCTGTGCTTCAGTGTTTGTGTTTTGTACCTTTGAAACCACACCAGTGTGGTTATTTTCTAGGTGCATCTGTTTTGTCCTATTCCAACCCTCCCAATAAAATTACTGACAGTTGAAGGAACCTCAACCTGATGCCCTTCTAATGCTCGTCCGATGCTCTGAATACTATCCTGCACTGCTAGTCTATAGTTATCTGAAGGCTTATAATAAACCCCAGGGTAGAAGGCAGAGGGAAGGGTGAGTGTCGTCCCTTCATACACTCTTGGGTGCATCTCTTAGTCCACAGTGATATATTCTGAAGTGCAGAAGCTGATAGCTGTAGTCCTGAGAATGACTCTGCAAAGAGAAGCCAAAGACAGAGACAGTTCTATTGAACTTTATCAACCAACAGGTTCTAGCGATCGATGTTCCTCTTCATCAGGAACAGGTCTTTTGTAAAGTTAAAGGATCTTAATCGCCAAGTCACAATCAAGCCATCCTCAAATCCTTTGCTTGACAACAAGGACAGCTTCCAATGAGATACTGTAGCTGGGAAAAGGTAGTAGGTGCTAAGCTCAGAGGAAGCAAGGGAAGCCCAAAGGTGGAGAGATAAGCAGAAAACACTCCAGTACCATGGCATCCTTGCCCTCCAGATATTTGGGACTTCACTTCTGTGAAGCCCAGAGCTAGGACCCAGAACAACAGGAACGCAACAGCTTAGAACTGTTGAAGCCTCCCTCCACATTTTGTCCAGCAGCTGGAGGGTTAACTTGCAAGTAGCTGCCCTGACTTTTCTCAGGTGATGTCTAAGCTCCTCCCTTGCCCAGGTGGGAAGAAGTCAAGGAGAGTCTGGAAAGCAGCCAAAAGGGCTATAAAAAAGGGTATGGGGTGTTACAGAGCTTTTCTGGTTTTTATGGACTGGTTTGGTAGCTTGGCTGACTGGTTCGTCAGCGAAGTTTTTTTCTCCAGGTAAGTGGAGGAGGAGGAGGAAAAGTGTTCCCTGCCTTAAGAACTAGCACTATCCAACATGTTGCTGTTCTTGCTTTAAAAAACAGCTTACATTTTTGTTGTTGTTGTTAACTATTCTTTTAAAAAACTCTTTGTTACTACAGCAGAATTCCATTTGGTTCCTGAGATTTTCTGTTTCTTGCCACAAAAACCTCTGGCACATCCTACAAACAGGGTGGCAGGGTCTAGCGATGACTGAACAATTATTCTGAGGCACCCTCACAACAACAGCAACAGCTCCTGACTCGTCCCAAGTAGCTCAGGGGCTACTTGAGACTGTGTTTTCTTTTGCATGGTTTGTATGCAAATAACCCCAGTTTTAATATCTGGTTGAAAGGGACGTGGGTGGCGCTGCAGGTTAAACTGCAGAAGCCTCTGTGCTGCAAGGTCAGAAGACCCGCAGTCGTAAGATCGAATCCACGTGATGAAGTAAGCTCCCATTGCTTGTCCCAGCTCCTGCTAACCTAGCAGTTCAAAAGTATGTAAAATGCGAGTAGATAAATAGGTACCACCTTGGTGGGAAGGTCATGGCATTCCGTGTCTAGTCGTGCTGGCCACGTGACCATGGAAATTGTCTTCGGCCAAACACTGGCTCTACGGCTTGGAAAAGGGGATGAGCACCGCGCCCTAGAGTCTGACAGGACTGGACTAAATGTCAAGGGGAGCCTTTACCTTACCTCAAAGGGTTTTGTAGATGTCAGGCTAGGGGGCAATTAAGAGCCATTTGTTTTACAAAAGACCTGCTAGAACTAATTTGTTGATATGAATCAAGGAAGCACCTTGTTTTTTGTTTTGTTCTGGATTGGCCCTAAGGGTATTGTTAAAGCTGATGTAACCTTTTTTCTTTTACTTCCCTACCAAGGAGATAAGGGGAGAGATGATACCAGAACCTGAAGAGAGGCACTGTGATATAATAATAACCATGTGCCATCAAGTCAAATAAATAACAGAACCCCCAACCCTTGCTCTACAGCCAGAGACCTAAGCCACTGAGCTATCAAGCCAGCTGTGGTATAGTGGTTTGAATATTGGCTTGGGAATGAGGTGATCAAGGATCAAGGATCCTGTTTCTCTGACTTAGACATGAAAATGACCAGTTAATTTTGGGCTGGTCCGACACCTTTTCTCTTGGCAGTGACCTCCTTCATGAAGCTGTTGTAAGGGTAAAGTACAGAGGAAAGCAACTGTGTAGGGTGCCTTGAGATAATTAAACTGAAGGTAGGATATAAACACAGCTCACCAATCAATTAATGGTCCATCTTCTTTGCCTGCACTCTCTCTCTTTCCACACACACACACACACACACTCCCAATTATGCCCTTGAGTAATTTTCTCCCTGGTTTTTTTGTGGCTGTTTAATCTCCTGACTTGACTCAGTTCCTTAAGCCCTTGGGAGTTTGGGGAAAGTTAGCAGTAATACTGCTCTGTTTAGGTCACAAACATTGCCCAGTAAGGTAAAAGCTTGTAAGGTATGCCTGGTTAAATTTTTACATTCCAACTTATCTTTGCATTAATTTTAGATCTCTCTTGGTGCGCTGCCCTATTGATTGTTTTGTTAATTGGGGGTCTTAGTTTTAATTTGCAAACCACCCAGAGTAGTGTTTCCACTAAAGGGGCAGTATATCAGTCAGTCAGTCAGTCAGTCAGTCGGACGTATGCATGGACGTCTTTGTTTTCATGAAGGTTTGGGCTGCATCTGGAACCATCACCTCGGTGTTTGCTACAGAGTTTTAGGAAAAGATGCAAAATGTTGTGACTTTTTCTAAGAAGAAAAAGTACTTTGTCTTTTCAGCCATTCCTTTTCTGTGACTACCATACCTCTGTGGTGTTGAGTTCCAGGCCCTCTAAATATTGACATAATTTTACTTAAAGTGGGTCGGGCTGTAAAAGACATAACTTGAAATCAGATCTCCTAATCTGGGCAAATGCAAATGTGTTGTTGAGTGTTTTAAAAACATGGGCAGTCATGGCTCATTTACTAGGGCTGGTGTTGTGTTACCCAGGGATCCCATGCTTCTCCTTCGTGGCTCCTTTAGAAGACATTTCAATCTGTAAATGCTTGCCAGCCTGCCCCAGAGTATATGGTTGTGTGTCAGGAAGACTGACTTTCTCTATGTGCCTGATACCTGTGTGATTGTCAGGTATATTAAGAAGATTACGTGTCTGTTTCAGTCTCTCAGACTTCTGCCTGCCTGTGGGAAATGTGTTACCCCTTTTGCAAAGACACCTACATAAGGAAATGGGATGATCCTTATCTCAGCTCTTTTGTTTCATCTGATTCCGTCCAAATGGAAAGGACGCATTTCGAGTACTTCCGGAAAGTGTTATTTATGACCAGATGAACAAGCCTGTTGTTCCCAGAGAGGCTCCTGAGGTCGCTGTTTGTGAATTTTTGTCCAGAGGACTGTTTTGAGGTCAGCGGAGGAATGGGGATTCTTAGTTAGACCTTTAAGAAAGTCGATCCAGCAAATGAACAGAGCATGACTGTGTGGCGATTTGGGGAGGAATTGTTCAAAGAAATAACTTGAAAACACCTAAGATGATCTTTGACATCCAAAGGAGTGGTGTCTCCTCAAGACCCGCACAGAGACAGAGAGATTTCCTAGGAAATACGGGAAAGAAAAGAGGGAAATTGGGTTTTCTCCCCAGAGTGTCATGCAAAGAGGGACTTGAAGCCAGGACAGGGATAGCGGAAGGTAAATACTGCCTCCAAGTGATGGCTCTAGAGTATGGCCCTGAATTTTGTTCCAGATGAAGGCTGTTTCCTTCAGAGACTTAAATCAAAATCGAAATACTGTAACAACTAAGGAAGACACACTGGTCCACACACAAATTCCACAATTGACTAATGGTCTTTCATAGGATCATCCAAAATACCACAAAAAACATGCAAGGTTTAGTCAGGCTAGCAAGATAAGAAAAAAAAAATAGCTAGATGAGGGGAAGAAACAGTTTTTTTCTTTTCTTTGTGGCAGGGGCTGCTTAGTTCAAGTACAAGTTCTGAGAAACTTAATTTTAACACAAAAACCATACACACACAAACAAAAGGAAAAACATTACCATGTTCAGTGATGCCTTTTTCCCCATGATAGAAATGTTGGATTTCTAAAACGAAACAAAAAACCAGAAGAGTCTTGTGACCTTTTGGTGACTAACAATGACACGTTGTGAATTTTGACACTTTAAAGATGAACCATCTCTTTTTTGCATAAGCCTTGGTGGATTATCTCAGAAGCTTGGAGGGTAGCCTAGATAGCCAGGTATTTATGCAAGTAGGGTGAGTAGTTTAGGATATGAAATGTACTGGATATGCAAATATGAGGACTGTAAAAAAACCAACCCACCGTTGGCAGAAAAATCCCACAAGTGACGGTACAAATTCATAAATAACTAATTGAATAACTACCAATTTGTTCCCATTTTGTGACACCCAAAATCTGCCCAAAGCAGTTAACTCTCTCCAAACAATGTTGGGCTGGTCCGGCTTAACCTAGGTAATGTTTTATCTCATTAAGCAGATGTTCCCCATTTCTTTTTTTCCCTGTCTCCACCCGTTAAGAGGTTTTCTGAACCCGTTCTCCATTAAGGAAGGGAGTTACTTAAAAGGGGCTTGGCAGTCACAGCCATGTGTAACGGGGAGGAGGAAATATTGATCGCTTGCCTGCTGTTGGCATAATCATTGCACTGTCAGTGTGAGAGAGAGAACATGAAGGGGAGAGAGAGACAGCGAGAAATCATGCCACACTGCGGCAGAAGGTATTTGCCGAGGAGCAGATGAAATCATTGGGTGGATTTTTAGGGGAGAAGCTGGAGAAGCAGCTGAGGGTTTGTCCCACCTGCCTTGAGGGTATGTGATTCTCCAGACTGATTTGCGCATGCACTTACTCTATATACCAAAGACTGGGTGGAGGGTGGAGTAGAAGAGGGTTTATGTGAGGGTGGCCAGGAGAATGGCTGCTTTCTGCATCCAGGCATGGCTGGCCCAAGAGGTAATCCCCAGCTTCATTATAGTTGAAGGGAATGGATGTAGTGGAAACATTTGTTTTTCACAGACAAGGTTCACATCTCCTTGTCCTGCTGGGAAAGGTCTTCTGCCTGTAAACCTGGAGGGCCATTGCTGCCAGTCAACTCTAGAAGCCTCGGTATCGCAAGGAAGCCTTCTACTACTTTAAATCAGCCTTGAGGGCTGGAATCTTAGTTTGCTTCTACGGAGAGGAACATAGCTCAGCGTTGGAGCACCTGATTTGCATGCAGAAGCTGTCAGGTTCAGCCCAAGGCATCACAAAGTTGGGTTGGGAAAGAGTCCAGGTACCTAGAAGCCCTAAATAGAGCAGTTACTGCCAGGTATTATCAACAAATACATAAACAATACTTTGCTGGATTGGGCCAGGATGTCTGACTTGGTGTAAGGAAACTTCCCACGTTTTGGTTTAAATAAACAAAAATTCGGTCCAATGAATGTCCGCTGGTTTTTTTTCTGACTGGCCCAGACACTGGAGGTTGCTAACAGATTTTCGTCTTCCTGGTAGGCAAAGCAGTCAAGTGCTGTCTGCTTGTTTTGTTGCCTCATTAAATTCAATAATCTTGGAAGGAGAAAGGGACATGAACTAGGTGAAGCCAAGCCAAATAAAGGCCTGCTCTGCATAGAAGCTGCAAGAAGTAATTAGTACCATTCTAAGGTTTTGGAAGGATCTGGATACATGTACATATTCTTTATAGCTTGTTTTTAAATCTTGTTTGGGAAATACAGATGTGTGTGTGTGTGTGTGTGTGTGTGTGTGTGTGTGTGTGTGGATCTGGATACATGTACGAGCAGCAGATATTCTTTATAGCTTGTTTTTTAATCTTGTTTGGGAAATACAGATGGGTGTGTGTGTGTGTGTGTGTGTGATATTCTTTATAGCTTGTTTTTAAATCTTGTTTGGGAAATACAGATGTGTGTGTGTGTGTGTGTGTGTGTGTGTGTGTGTGTGTGTGTGAGAGAGAGAGAGAGAGAGAGAGAGAACTATACTGAGATAGCAGTCAAGAAGCAGAAGTTTCAGTCTCCTGAAATTTTAGAAGTGTGCAGAATGTAGCTCAAGAAAACTGGCCCATTTTCCAAAAGCTGCCCTTTTGCTTTCAGGTTTCTGGGAGTGGTCAGCAATGGAGATGTTGGGATCTCACAGGCTGGGACACGCATTTACAGCTGGAGAAGGAAGAGCTTCCGGCAAGGTATAGCCTCAGGATACATTGGCTTTCGGGACCAAGCTGGGGGTGTGGGGTGCATTGCTTGGATTCTTTAGCAAGAAAAAAAAAGAAAAAAAAAGGATGGACCAGATGCAGTTGCTAATTGTGTTGATTATAGTATAATGGGGACTAGCAGTTGCCTTTAACCTTGTACGTGTGCACACCTTTCGGTTGTAGTTCTCTTTGTGGCTTTGCCTTACCACTTGATTAGCTTTCTATTGAGGAAGGTGACCTCGAACTTCCCCATGGTCCAATTCCGCTTGGTTGCCTCCCACCTCCAGCCGTTTTCACTTAGAATTCAGCCCCTCCCTTGTGTTGTTTTCATTCCAGGTGGTCAGTTTACCCCCACAGCGGCAGAAGATGTGATCTATGATGATGTTCCTGATGAAAATTTGGAACCAGATCAGCGTGGTACGGCCTCTCCCATTATGACGCCTGATGGCACATCCTTGGGTTCTTCTTTGCTGAAGGCCTTCCTTTTGTCCTCATCTCTTGCTCTCTCTTTGTTGTTCCTTCCTCTGTCTTGTCAGGACAATGGAGAGGGTGGCTGGGGATCCTCCTGTGGTGAAGGAAGGCGTAATACCTCCTATTTAATATCAAGTTTACAGGAGCAGTTGCTGATGGTCCAGTTGCCTTTGTTTTTGTTTGTTGTTTGTTTGCACTTCTAAAAGGACCTAGTTTGGAAGCAACCTGGAACAACCCACCGCATTTCCTTCCCCTCATTTCTACTCACCTTCCTCTTCATTCATCTTGCATCTTCTTTTTTTCCCCTTCTTCTTTAAGAGCCACTTTTCCTGCAATTTGGGTATCATTTCTTATCATGTTCGGCACAATATTTTCTTTCCCTCCTGGAAATACTTTTGTTTAGAGGACTGAAATAGAACCACTTCCATGATCTCAAGCTTTGCAGAGGCATGCCCTCAGTCTGAATGGATACCTGGTGATCCTTTGCTCATTGGTGCCCTGTCCTTCTTTCCTTCTAGATTCGGAGACAAATCTGATCTACGAAGATGTCCACCAGGACAAAGAACCAACAGAGGCTGAGAATTTAGGCTGGAGCTCTAGTGAGTTCGAAAGCTACAGTGAGGATTCTGGGGACGACAACAAGCCAGAGACCGAACCTGCCAAACCAAAAGTGTCTTTTCAGCCCAAGGTAATAATGGACTGGTGGGGGAGGGAGAGAGAGAGAGGGAGACACACACACACAGAGAAAGGGTGAGACAGAGAGGGAGAACCCTATTTCCCAATTATTAGGACACACAAGAAAGGGTAAAACATCCCATCATGCTGCCAAGGTTTACCCAGGACACCTCTAGTGTTGGAGCCATTAGTTTCAGATTCTTTGTCCAAAAGGAGTAAGGAGAGAGAGAGGGAAAAGAAGAGCCTGTGGCTAGATAGAGGTTGCTACACTTGAAATATCATCTGAATGAACAGAACGATTTCGACATGGAGGTCTTTGGCTTATACTCTTGAGAACTGAGAGTGTATGAAGTATGTGTGTGCGTGTTTCTGGTGTCCATTGTGATCTGGGATATGACCTGGATTAATTGGAATATAATATATATTTTTGTTGTTTTAAACGTGAATCATAGAAAGGAAAGGGGGTGCAGGTGTTAAGGCCAGCAGTGGGAGAGGTGAGCTTTGAAAGTTGGACTGGGGTCTCTAGTCTTCACTGAGCCATGAAACTTACAGTGTGCTTTTTGCATCAAGTATTTTCTCTCTCTGTCTGATCACTTCCCAGCACTGTTGTGGGGATAAAGGGACGAGGGAGAGAGCTATGTATGCCACTTTTCCTCATTGGGGGAAAGACAGGATATATAACTGTATCTAACAAATAGGTTGATTGACTTATCAATCAGTCTATCAAGCCCTCTCTTTTGGATGCAGAAACCTTGTGCAGGGGTTGCTTTGGGCTATTCCCCTTTCTAACACAGCTCCTGACTCAAAGGTGACTTCTCTGATGCTTTGTGTGTATGTGTGTGTATTGCGTGTCACCCCTCTGCATGAATCTTGGCTTGGAATGCTTGCTTGCTTATCTGGATTTCTCTGCCTCTCTTCCCGTCTCCCCACTCTCTCCTGCTGCTGCTGCTGCTTCTCTCATACATTAAACGCTGGCTTTTGGGGGTGGCAGCACCTTTCTCCAGACCTCCATAGACTAAAGGAGAGATACACCCGGACTAAGAGGGACATCCTGGCTTTGAAAGTCGGGGGTAGAGATATGCAGGAGCTGAAGCAAAGATACGATTGTAAGGTACTTCCCTTTCTCTGAACCTTGGATTTTTTTAATAATGATGCTGTCTTGCTGACTTGCTCTCTCTTTTGGCTGGTCTGTTGTTCACTGCTCTTATCTCCTCTGCTCTGCAGAAACTAACCTACGTTTTTTAAAAAATCGTTTCTTTTTTGGAGCTTACTTTGGTTGTCAATCTGAACTCTTTTCCTCCTTGGCAGGAGAGGGAGCGATGTTAAGAAACAGGTGGGGACTAAGATGGATCCCTCCTTTCATATATTAGGGTTGAGATAGTTTTTTTTTTTTTTAAAAGGAAGGCTAAATTAATAGTCAGAGCCATGCATAAGGGTTAGCCAGGTTGTGGTTTATTGAATTCTGGCTTGCTGTTGGGCCTGAACATATCAGTGTAAACAAACCATGGTTTGGTGGCAGCTGCAACTCACACTTAGAGGTTCTGGGCTTTAGCCCCTGGCTTATTTTTAGGTTTGAACACAGATAATTTCTCTAGCTGTCTCCCTTAAAACAGAGACAGGTGGAAAGGTATAGGGAGAGAAACAAACCAGGAACGCAGAAAACAAACTATGGTTTGTTTGGTTTTTAAGAGGATATTTTGTGGTTATAAAGCAGCTAACTGTGGTTCACCAAATCTATAAAGTATTAAGAGCACTGTTGGGGGTGGGGAAGAGATGGTGACCCTAACTCAGAACCATAAATATGTTTGAATATGCACACATTCACAGCCTATGCCTGAAAAGTCCTTGGTTTGAATGGATAAGTCTGGCAATTCTGTGGATGACTCTGTTGAGTTTTTAAACCCCATGCTGTTAAGGCAGCTGTTTAGCTGCTAAGGGATATCTACATTTTAGAAATAAGAAATGAATGAATGTAAGGCTGCATAAAGAAATGCGGCAGCTGATTTTGTGGAGGCTTCTCAACAGTATCTCTAACCATAACCCTAATCCTATGCAGCTCTGATTAAACCATTCAGAACTGTCACTGAAACACGCCACCTTCTAGAAGTGTGTGCGTGCAATTGGCATGTCCATAATCGAGAGGGAGGGAGGGAGAGAATGATATAAGCATTTGTCTTAAATCCAGAACAGTTTCTTTAGTTGTTTTCTTGATGGAGTGGAGATTTACGCTTGAGTGTATGAATGTGCTGATGGGTCTCTTTTTCCTTCCTACGCTCTTTGCCTCACTCCACACAGATGACGCAGCTGATGAAAGCAGCCAAAAGTGGCACAAAGGATGGCTTAGAGAAAACCAAGATTGCTGTTATGCGGACTTTCTTGCATAAGAAAGACATCCCAGGTAATATGTGTATTAGATACAGGACTTTTGGCATTATTGTTTTTTTTTTATAGCCTTCATATTCTACCTTTCCTCTGATAAAGCCCCAAGGCAGCATCTGTAGCTCTTCTCTACTGGGTTTTATCCTCACAGTAAACGTAGGCATAAGGTTGGGGATAAGGGAGAGGGAGAGGTCAGTTCAGATAGGAAATCTCATTGTTTAGTGCAGTGGTTCCCAACTTTGGGTCCCCAGGTGCACTGAGACTACAACTCCCAGGAATTCTGGCCTACACAGCGAGTGGCAAAGGCTCTGAGGAGTTTTAATCCAAAGAGATCGGGGGACCCAAGGCTGAGAACTGCTGGCTGGCTGAGGTCTTGAACCAGATGAAGTGAGGCTCTTCTAACATTCTTACAGCTCCCCATACATTTCAGGAAATCAACATGGCTCTCCTGAGCATACTCTGGTTGGCCCTCATTATTTGCTTTTTTGCATCCCTGGGTTCTTTCTTTTCCTGCTTCCCTTCAAAAGTCCTCTGTTTCGACATTCGATAAAACACTTGTTTTATCATGAGAGTTTCCCCTTAGGTCACAAGTGAAACTCTCATAGACAGCTAAGCCAGAGAAGTCCGTGGAGAATCCAGCCTCAGATGCCCTAGCCTTAGGGTTCTCTCCAGGTTTTGTGTGTGTTGCAACACCAACATTTGTCATTTTGCTCCCATGGAGATCACTAGTGCATCAGAATGTGTTGTCTCTAATAAAAGAGTTTTGAGATGCCAACAGAAAGAAAGAGAGTGAAAGAAAGAGAGAATGCCTGGAGAAAATGGTTTTCAGAGGGCATGGCTTCATATATCTAGATTTTCTAGACCTCCACAACCACTCCACCCAGGTCTAACACCGACCATCTTAGCTGCATGTACAAAGATGTTGATGTTCTTTCTGTTGACATCAGTCCTCCATGGTTAGAATCCAGGCAAAACTAAAGGACCCAATGCCGCATAATACTGTAACAAGGAATTGCTTAGGAGTGTGGTCTTTTGGGAAGTGCCACCGAACCTTTGGAAGACCCTGCCAGGGGATGCCTGAGCCTAAGATCCTCTTTTGGCTTCAAGCTGAGCAGAACACACACTTAGGAGGCTGGTGATCTGGTTGTTTTTTGTACAGTACATTGATGTTTCTGTTTAGATTGCCAGCTTAGTTTTTTTCTCTCTAGTTCCTTTTTCACTTTATTGCACCATTCTTTTTTTAATTTGGATTTGATTAGAAGCCACTTAATAGATATTTGTAAATAACACACATGACTTTGTTAGTAACAGGTCTCTCTGTCTCTCTCTCACACACACCTTCCTGCCTCTTCTGAAAGTTTGCTGGGACAGGAACCTCTCTGTTCTGTCTTGTAAAACAAAGGGAATATATACAGTACATTTATATACAGTATATAAGTTTCCAAGAAGTGAGATTGGAGCAGGGAAACTGCAATCTGAATGCACATCTCTCTCTCTTTCTCTTTCTCTGACATGCGTACACACGCTGAGAGTGCATATCTATTTCTATGCAAATAGAAAGTCCGGAGAGCTTTCCGTCTGCTCTTTGGAGATGCCCTTAGCGAAGCATTCATAACCACAAAGACTGCTTCTTCTTTCCTTTGGATGATTGTGAAATATTACTGGCGTGACTCACTTTACACTGGTGAAACAAACACTTGGGGACACTCTCCAGATGGTAGCTGTGTTAGTCTGTTGCAGCAAAACTTACCAGAGGTCCTGTGGTACAGGAAAGACACACAGGTTCTATCTTTTCGTAAGCTGCAGCTTCAGCAGCTGTGTCTAACTCAATAATAGATGGAGCTTCTTCTTCTTCTTCTTCTTCTTGTTATTATTATTATTATGATTATGATTATGAAATTGATTTCATTTCATATAGTTTTTCTGATTTCATCCTCCCTCCTGTTTTTGGAAAAAAACAAACAAACAAAAGCAAAAATCATAGCCATTGAAATAGGAAGCACTCTGTATGGTGCCATTGTCCAGGGTGAAGAATCACCTCCAGGAGCTGGAGGCAAAGATGCCTAAAGGGCTTTTAGGTCATATACTTAGCTGCTGCTGCTGCTGCTGCTAAGGATGACTTTCTGAAGGGAAGCAACCCCTGGGTTTGTGGACAAGAGACACTGAGAGTGAGTATGTCTTCTTGTGATGCTCCCCTTGCTCTAGGGGATGGAGAGCCTAGCAGGAGTGTGCCAGAAACTGGACGGAAGCGTTCTTTATCCTGGACGGGTGAACTCTCCAAGGCCTCCAAGCCCTGTTCAGAGAGAGGTACAACCGTACTAGTCATACTGGCCTGGATCCTGGCTCAGTTCAATCCTGTGAGATGAGATGGCATGGCTTGTGGTGTGTGTGTGTGTGTATGTGTTAGGTTGTGGCTGCTCTTCAGAAGGGGGGGATGTTGGGACTTGATCCTGCTTGCGACACTGTGCACTTTGCATGTGCTCAGGGGTGCTGTTATCGCTGTTCATCCTGCCAGAAGGAGTAATCGTTTTTTGTTTGGAAAATCAGCTCTGAAGCATGCCTGCCCAAAGATCCATACATCCCTGTCTCCAGCATCCACATATGTGGCCATGGGGGGCATATGTGGCAGACACACTTGGTGCAAGAGGCCATCTTTCCTCTTTAACACACTTGTTGCATAGAGAGGATTTGTGTGTGCACGTGTGTGTGTGTGTTGAGGGGAGGAAGGATGGCCCTACATCTCAGGTTTTACCAGAAGCCCAATTGGGCACAAGTCCTCCAAAGGCTATACAGCCCTCGATGGAGAGGCGAAGGCTGTGGCAGTGGAAGCTCAGTGATATAACCAAAAGGCCCCCTGCCACATGCATGAAACAGCGCTTTGTGTGCAAGGGAGTGGATAAATCCCCAGGGTTTCTTTTCCCCTGTCCATGCTATTGGTGGGGCAGAGTGTCTCCATGTGCAGGCAGAGGGCTTTTTCCTCTCCTGTACCTTAACCTCTGACATATTCTTTTGATTGGAGAGCACAGCATCTGAGCAAGACTCAGTCCCAGCAACTCTTCCTTGGCAATTTAAATGACAGTGTATGTGCTTAAACCCTAATGTTGGTCACATGGATCTGGTTGCACCCTCTGGCAATGCCGTGGTGTGGCACCTAGTGCAGAAAGTAGATTGGGCAAAGGTATGTGCTCGTTGTAGCCGCTTGTGTGTGGGCAGCCTTGTAGTTGTGTGTGTGTGTGTTGCACACAGAGATGGCCACTGGTTTGTCAGCTTTGGATGAGACCTCTGCATAGAACAAACATGTGAGGACATGTTCTTGTCTAGTTTCGGTGCCAACAATTCGCAAAGGAAATTTCAGAAGTAGAGAACTTGGAGGGTGAAAAGCTGCTGGAGCTGAATGCTCCTCTGTTTAGCCCAGGCTTGTCCAGGCTGACTGGGAGCAAAGGAAAGACCTCCAGGTTTGAAGCAGGATCATTTCTTGGCCCTGCCTGAAGATGCTGCTGGGAGTTCAACCTAGGAGGACCTTCTTCCTTCCGAGCAAGGCTTCTTCCACTATGACACTGTCCTCCTCCTCTTCGTCTTTCTCTCATACCATTTGCAAACTGGAAGTGACTAATGATGAGTGCCATATTTTGACACTGATAGCCTTCAAGCATAGTCATTGAGCCAAATGATCAAGGCTTTGCATTTTGGTGGCTACGCTTTTTTAAAGAAAGCGAGTGTTGTCCACCATTCAGGAAAGTTATTATATTTGTGTGTTTGTATAAGGGATCTTAGTACTTTTTCCAAGGCTGCTGCTTTCTATGCCTCTCTTTCTCCCCTCAAGCTGTTTCCGTTCTGGGCTCTCCTCCCCGGATGGTTTGTGCCTTGAGTGAGCTGGGCAGCTGTTCCAAAATTAGGGAAGGAAAAAGGTCACCCTTCGCCATCGCTGGTCTATTCCTGTCCCCCCTCTCATATCCACCCCTCCCCGGGTTGCTAACACACTCTGCTTCCCTTCTTGAGCAGTCTCTTCTTCCTTCAGCACCTTCTGTGCCTGCCCCTTGACTGGCTGATCATAATGCATCTTCTCTTTTGTGGCATGTCCTTTAGAGCTGCCCCACTCCCTGCAGTGGGAGCCTGAGCTGTCAATGGGAACTGAATTGGTTTGAGTTTCGAAAAAGAGGAAGTTTGGGCATTGAGGCAGGCAAGACCGCTTCGGAGAGGTTGTGGGGGGTGGAGGTGGCAGGAGGCGCTGGGGATACAATGTGGAGGAAACGGAGGCACTGGCACCATGTTGACAAGGACTATGTGATTGTCCACTCTTCTTCCTCTTCCTCCTCTTCAGTCTCAGGTAAGGCCATGGGACAGTACAGGTCTGATTTATTTGGGATCCCTGTCTTCATGGCTTCTCTTTTGTGTCTCTCTCTCTGTATGTCCGTGTCTCTTGGGTTTTTTCTTTCCTCTTCAGCAAAGAATGGAACTTGGGTTTTATCTAGGGTCAAGGGCCAAACTATACATTACATATCGCCTGTCCCTTGAAAGGCAATTTCCTCCAGTGCTGAGAGTGGCAGCAGGACGGTCCTTGTGCACCTCCTGCAATTGCAGGTTAGCTAGCTTTATTTTGTAATTGGTCATTGGGAGGTAATCACAGGCTTTGCAGTTACGATTGCTCAGTCACCAAGATTTGCCTCATCTGGAATGTTAATCAGAGTTCAGCTTCTGAGAGTGAGTGGGTTGTAACATATAACTTGGCCCCAAGTTACTCTGAGTCAGCATTCTTTAAAAATTAGAATCTCTGGAGCATCACAGCCGGTGGAGCTGAATCCTGTGAGCTGCACATCTTGCCTTGGATATGGCTTAGTGGGCGGGTAGGTTTCGCCTGCAGCTTGAGAACTATGGTTGGGGGGCTGTGTTCAGGTTCAGAAGGAAGGTCTGGTCCGGGCTGTGCCTTTGCTTCCCCACGTACCCACAAGCGGGCAGTGCGACTCAGTTCTTTGAGTCCTCAGGGTGTACCAGCCTTCTCGCCTTGAGCTCCGTAATTATTTGGGTGTTTTAGGAGGATTTCTCTCTGTGTTTAGCCTTTGTTGCCGTGCAGGGAAAGTGGAGATGACAATTGTAGCTTTTGAGGAAAGGACTGGGTGTAATTCAGTCTCGCAGCCCTTGGCCACAGGATTGAGCCATGAAGTAATGGGGATCTGGACCCTAATGCTCCCACCTAGGAATTGTCTTTGATTCCGCAACACGGCCAAAGTCAGCATTTGCTCTAGCCCGATTTTGTCTTAACTCTGAGTCATGGTGTCTGGCAGAAACCTCTCTAGGCCTTGTGACCAGAGACCAGACATATTACAGTGCATGATAAACTCAGGGAAGCTTGCTGCCTTGCTCAGATGGCTCCCCTGTTTATCCTCATAGTCTATATATTTATCCATTCCAGCATCATTGATGTGGACTAGAATTAGTTCTTCATGATTTCAGATATGGGATCTTTCTCAGTAGATATTGGTGGAGGTGCTAGTGGTTGAACCCAGAGCCTTTTTTGTACAAAAGTGTTAGGAACTCTGCCCTAGAGGGAATGAGTGTATCTGAAAGTCTAGTACTTACTTTCTAGTAAAGGGCTGATACAAACAGGAAATGTAAGAAGCTGTCTGATATTGAGCCAGACTCTTGTTCCACCTGGGCCTGTATGGTCAGCTCTGACTGGCAGCAGCTATGGCTGCTCTCCAGGGTTTTGGGAACACAGCTTTGCAGCTCTGCTTGGAGGTGCCAAAAAAGGGGTGCATTGGTGTCTCCCTGAAAAGCAGGCATTCTGTTCCTCAGTTATCACTTCGCTTGCAATGAAACAGCCCCTGGTGAGCCCCAAAGTATGTATGAATGTTGAAAGGAATATCTTTCTGTGCAACAGTGAAGGAAATGCCCTCTGCACACGTTCGGGGAGGGAGGGGTTGTCTTCCAGTCCTTACAGCACTAAAAGCTGATCCTGAAGCTGAGCTGGGGTGGATCTGCATGGACTACAACTCCCAGGATCCCCACCCCATCCTCAGCTTCAGGTGTGAGAGTCTAAAAATTAAAGCAGCAACTCCCCACCGCACCCTCAAATGCTCTGGGACTTTTGCAAAGTACTTTCTGTCCCTGGGTTCATAGTCTGGGTAAAGGAGCCATCTGGGCGGTGAGCCGGAGATGGGTGATGATGATGATAAAGTGCTCTGTAGTCTGGAGAAATGTAGAAGAAATAGATAGAGTGTGATGATATCAGAGAAGCATTTTATCTGTGGGAAGATAAGTCCGTGTCTCTTGTTGCAAAACTGTTACGTGGTGATGACAATAGTGATGATGGTTGCAATAAATAAATGGGATGACACAGCCTCTGTCCATTTTGGCTGTGCCTGAAAAACATCTTGGAAGTTTGGGTCTAAAGAGGATTTTAGCTCTTTCCTTTTTTTAAAAAAAAATTGACAAGCAGCAGTTGTTTATTTCAGGATTTTGCCTTCCTGAATTTTAGACCTCAAGTTGTTTTCTGGCTGGTTAATGGAATGCTCTTGGATGAGCAGGGAGATAACTTCTGGTCCCCACACACCAGTGTTGAAAGGCTGAAAAGCTGAAATTCTGTGACAGACGGAACATACTTTGCACCAAAGCGTGGAGGTTCTCTCTGATGCTAGGTGCCACTTTTTCCGTGGTCTTTCTCAGAGCAGCTTTGCAATACGGCTCCCTGAACACTCTTCCCCCCCCCCCATTGGCCATGCTGGGTGGGGCATTCTGGGGCTTGTAATCCAAAACATTATTTCCTGAGCTCTGGTGTTTCCCTCCTGTCTCTCCCCCCTCCTCCTTTCATATTCTGTCTCCATCCATCTTCCTCCCCAGTCCATCAGCTACCATGTCTTGGTGATTATTCCCTTTGCTGTCCATTCTTTTTGGCCATCTTTTAGACTGTGTTCACGTTACTCCCTTACACCACTTTGGTACCCTTTTACCAGTTTTCATGGCTGCATCCTTACAGAATCCACTCCCCAGAACTAGAGCAGACCATTAACTCCCCATCCTACAAACCCGAGGAGCCCAGAGGATAGAGCTGTGGCACCAACAGAGGAATCAAAGTGCTATCACTCTCTAGTGTAGATACAGTCATAGGCGGCCTATCCTAACCTTTGGCTTTCTTATTTCTTTTCTGTGCCAGCTTCTCCATTTTTAGACCTTGTGTTCCTTCCTCTCACCAAAAACCACATTTATTCTTCCCTCAAAGCGATAGTTATAGTTTCCCACATTCTGCCCATAACCTGTTTTCTTCCCCTTAGCTAATTGGGAAAATTTTGTGATGTTTAGCTAGGTTTAGGGGAGAGACTCACTTTTCGAGTTTCTTAAAGGTTTTGATATCTGGGGGAGGAAGAGATCTTTTTTTTTTTTAAAGAAAATCTGCACTATTTTGCAGTAGCAGAAAATATTAAAAGAAAAACTGTGTTGTTTTGGTGAGCTGTCAACTTCGAACATACTTGCTGTCTAGTGCAAATGTTGGACGTCCTGGCAAATACTTCAAAGTTCAGCACTGAATGTCACCCCTCTGCCCCTGGCAATGCAGGAATGCCCGTGAATCACCCTGTGCTTATTTTGTCCATTTCTTTCCTAGGAGATTCTGAAGAGGAAGACATGGGGTTCTTGGAGGTCCCCGTGACAGATATGAAACAGCCGCTTCCAGAGTTGGGGCCCATGCCCCAAGGGCTGAGCCCTCAGCAGGTTTGTTTTGTTTATTGAGAGACTCAGAGAAGGCTGCGGACAGAGAGTGAATTAGATTAAAAACAAAAATCAGTAGAAGAATCAGTTTTGGATTCTTTTACCTATAAAATCCCAGTTCCAGGTGATGTTAAATCCTTCTATGTGTCTTAAATGCCTTCTCTGTGTTGTGTGCCTCTGTTTTAACGTCACTGGATGCTCCCCATAGAATGCAGTCCTCTTTTGTTTTCTCCTGCTACTGGCAGAGAGAGAGAGAGAGGTGGGACAATTCTAAAATTGTCTTGTGGTGGCAACAGTCAAGGATTGCTGACTTGGGCGTGGCCAGTACTGGGCATATTTCCCAGCTGAGGAGAGAGGAAGGGGGCTGTCTTGCTAAGATTCAGCCTCAAGAAGAGGAAGATCTATTCAAGACTGAGCAAGCAGAGTTTTACCTTAATTCCTGGAATCTTTTCAACTACCTTAGAAGAGGAAGTTTTAGATTCCACCCCGTAGTTGCTCTGTAATAGTATTAAAACTGGATGTGAGGCAGAAAAGGGCTGTAATTTCTATTATATTCTGCCTTTCTTGCAGGGGGCTTGAGACGAGCATTTTAGTTCTCCTTATCATTGCTTAATCACCAGGGCAACAGTCCTGTGAGGTAGATCAGACTGAAAGGGCATAGCTGACCCAGCTGAATTTTATGACTCAGTGGGGACTTGGACCTGGATCTCCCAGTCTCAAATTGATACTCTAACCACTGTTGGGATTCTCTGAATCCTCCCACCCCAAAGCCGCTCTGTCTTTTAGTTATTACTTGGCAGTTCCATGGATGTGTGTGCTTTCTGAGTTCTCTTTGTGGCTCGTTCTTCTTAATTCTCTGCTCTTTTGTCTTCCCCATGTGCCACACACAGGTTGTACGGCGTCACATCCTTGGTTCCATCGTCCAGAGTGAGCGAAGTTATGTGGATTCCTTAAGACGAATCTTACAGGTAATAAGACTTGTGTTTCTCAGTGAACACACACAGTGCTGCCCATGACTTCTTACTCTCATCTGAGGAGCTGGCTTTTGGAACTTTTTGGCCAGAGAGGAATCTGGAAATAACGTTTTTCAAGCAACTGAATATATTTATCCTATAGAAGGAGATGTGTGGGGAGTTTAAAGCACAGAGAGCTGTCTTCAAATACAGTATCTGAAAATCATCCACTGAGGAGAGAGTTCAATACGGTTCTCTGTTTTTCTGGGTGGAACTAGAACTGGAGCAGGAAAAAAAAGGGAAGTCCTTCTTTACATGACATATAATCAGACTGTAGAACTCTCTGCCACAAGACATAGTGACAGCTGCCATCTCTGAAGAGGATTAGACAAATTCATGGAATACTGTATAATGATTGTCAGTGGTTACTGCATGCTCTGGGTACTTGAGGCTCAGAATGATTTGTTTATTTATATGTTTATTAAAAGATTTGTTGTTTTCCTTTCTGCTCACTAGGATTCTCAAACAAACTGATTGCATGAATTGGAAACTGCTTAAAAACTTGCTTTGAAAGAAGATTTTAAAGGGCCAATTTTAGAATCAGGCTTAAAAGGCCCAAGACCTTTTGAAATGTAGCAGTTTTTGCTGGATGCTAAAACCCTCAACAAAGATGGAGCCGGGCTGACTTCCTTTGGGAAGAGGTTTTACAGCCTCATCTCTTCCTTCCTTTTGCCAACAGGATTATAGAAACCCTCTTATGGAAATGGAGCCCAAAGTTCTCAGTGCCAGGAAGTGCCAGGTGGTTTTCTTCCGGGTCAGAGAGATCCTTCAGTGCCACTCCATGTTCCAGATTGCCTTGTCTTCACGTGTGTCAGAGTGGGACACCACAGAGAAGATTGGTGACCTATTTGTGGCCTCGGTGAGTGTCTGCAGGTGTTGCTGACTTTCAACCTGTTGCGTGCCTGAACAGAGCAGGGGTCCTGTACGTTCTTCAGATTGTAAACTCACGACTGATGTGCAGCATTGCTGATTCTTTCACGCTCCTTTAAAGAACAGCGAGACTTTGTTCTTTGAAGACTACAGATGCAGATGGAATAGGGAATGGTAGAAACAGCCTGTCTTCAATCCAGCCCTTCTCTGGAATCACTTAGCAGGTTCTGGGGGGTCTTTTTCTGACCCATTTGATTTCAGGGCACACCTGCAATCTTCTAGTTTCTGCGTAATTGTGTGGCTCATGTCATATAATGGTTGAACTGGGAGTTGGGGGTGCAGCTTCTGGTCCCTCCTCTTGAACCATTCATTTTGCTGGGTGAACGTGAGCGGTCGCTCTTTTTGTCGCCCTCTCAGGCTCACCCACCTCACAGGGTTATCGCGAGGCGCTTCTAGAGGGGACATGAGCAGACCCTGACATCTAACTCTCCCTCTCTGTTCTCCTCCTGCTCAAGTTTTCCAAGTCTATGGTCTTAGATGTCTATAGCGAATACGTCAACAACTTCACCAGTGCCATGTCCTTGATCAAGAAAGCCTGCCTTACTAAACCTGCCTTCCTGGAGTTCCTCAAGGTCAGAGGGCAAGAGAGGTGTGGTGGCGCAGGGTGGGGCAGTGTGAGGTGCTTTGAATGGGGTGGTTACAAAAAGCTTGAAATGCATGACTTTGGAGATCTCTCTGTAAACGATAACAACCAGATTTGAAATCTTAAGAGATTAAAACCAAGCATGTGAGTTTTAGACTCTTACGTGGTTAGGTAATCAATTTAACAGATCATCCATTTTACATCTACCTACGTTTGATTAGGTAAAGGTAAAGGTTCCCCTTGACAATTTTTGTCCAGTCATGTCCGACTCTAGGGGGCGGTGGTCATCCCCGTTTCTAAGCCATAGAGCCAGCATTTTGTCCGAAGACAATCTTCTGTGGTCACGTGGCCAGTGCGATTTAGACACGGAACACTGTTCCCTTCCCACCTAGGTGGTCCCTATTTATCTATTCATATTTGCATGCTTTCGAACCGCTAGGTTGGCAGGAGCTGGGACAAGCGACGGGCGCTCACTCCGTCGCGTGGATTCGATCTTACGACTGCTTGGTCTTCTGACCCTGCAGCACAGGCTTCTGGGGTTTAACCCGCAGCGCTACCACGTCCCACTACATTTGATTACAAGGAGCTAAAACATAACCATTATAACAACAGTTACTAAAAGAATATAATCTCTGCTACTTTTTAACTGTGGATGCTAGTGATTCTTTTCTCAAGTATTTTTATAAACTCCTTTTGCTATTTCCTTGTCTAGTTTTATTGTTGTGGGTCACTACAATAATATTTATGCTAGATGCGAGCTTTAGGTGTTAGTGTTTTCTGAATCATGACTTTATGATTTCCAGAGTGTTGTTGGTTTCAAATGTGCTGCTTTGAAAGGAATGACTTTGAAAACCAACCAGGAAATAAACTCGTTAAATAAACTGGCCCTTTCCCTCTTGGCAGAAGAGACAAATGGCCAGTGTCGACCGGGTGACCCTCTACGGATTGATGGTGAAGCCCATCCAGAGGTTCCCTCAGTTTATCCTCCTGCTGCAGGTACGGCCCTTCATTGCTCCCCTTGCTCTTTTCCCATAGAGTGCCTAGTTCAAGGTCAGAAAACCATCAGCCCTCTGGATCTTGGTGTACTGTTACTCCCATCATGCCTCAGAATGGGCCAGGTAGGATGAGGCTGATGAGAAACTGGTACTCTAGCAACATCTGGAATCCCTTCAGTTTCTTCAGTCCTGGTCCAGCTGTGGAGCAGAAGGCAAAGCAAGAAAGGACGGAGTTGAAGGACTTGCATTTGCGTCCATCCCCAGTTCCCTAATGCCCAGTCTGAGGGAGGCTTCTGTAGGAGTTGGAAGCTAGTTTCTGAGATTTAGTGGTAGAAGGGGTAGCCATGTTAATCTGTGCAAGCATTATAGGTAAAAACAAAACAAGCAAAATAGTAAAAAAAAAGACAAAAAAGTGACAGCATTGTAAATACTAACTTTTATATTTTTTAATGTGAGCTTTCGTGGACAAGTCCGCTCCCTCAGACACCAGACATAAGAGCCTATTATGTTTAGTGGTCTAATAAAGGCACCACCCATCCTTGTCGCCAGATGGTGTACAGACATGTCTCTTCTCTTTGTGTACTCCAGGACATGTTGAAGAACACCCCCAAAGGCCACGCCGATCGGCTGTCGCTCCAGCTTGCCCTCACCGAGCTGGAAACCTTGGCAGAAAAGCTGAATGAGCAAAAGCGCTTGGCTGACCAGGTGGCTGAGATACAGCAGCTTACCAAGAGTGTCAGTGACCGTAGCAGCCTCAACAAGGTACGATGCTGATTCCATGACTGGCCGGCGGTGGTGGTTCTTGCCCTTGTCATGGTGGTTGCAACCACCAGGCAAGCAGTAAGGACAGAAAGAAGACTGGCTAAATCCCTTGATCTCCTCCAGTTTAGGCTCTATGGACAAGATGAGAAATCCCCTGTAAAGGGGTCTCCCTTTTTCCTGCTTTAGCTTCTCTTTCATTTGCACACATTGGCTTTTTCCTATTGAGACACAATAGATTGCTCACATGCGTGAACGCACACCAAGTGCAAAGAGTGTCTAATTGTTCAGAAAGAGACAAAGAACCCATCTAGTGCTTGAGATTCCTTATCAAATAGGTCCGTGGGATAGTTTTGGCCGATTTGCTCAATTGCACAAATTGGGCAATTTATGTAGAAAATTCAGTAATTGTATGTGTGTGTCTTTGTGTGTCTGTCTGTCTGTGCATGCACACAAAGCCTCATCCTTGAGAGTATCAGGAAAGAATGTTTGTGAGGAGAAGAACATTTTTATTCCTTGTCCTTTCATTGTCAAGCGAGATGAGCGAGGATTTATATCTGTACCAGGTGGTTAAACCTTTTAGTTTTCGTTATGAGCACTCCTTCGTAGCAAGACACTTTTTTCACTTGCTGGTCTATCCCTTGCTGTTTCTGTGCCTGAGATGGATGGTTTAGAAAAGAAGGCAGCACAGAGTTTTTTTTTTCCACTTTTGGGCTCTGAAATGGATCAGTACAGTTGTCACTCTAGCAAGAGTTTACAGGCTTAATCCCTGAGGCAATTGCTTTGCCTCCTGTGTGAACAAGACTCTAAACACATCTTTCAAGCTCAAGTAAATATGTTTAGAAATATATAGTTTGACAATAAATTTTGAAAAGCACATTTTGAAAGAAAATAAGATTGGGAAAAAAAATGCGGAGCCTTGATGTGAATTTTCAGAGTTGTATGGAATGGACTTACAGGTGGACATAAACTGGAAATAGTTATTCCTTCACTGCCTGAAAACTTTTCTGACTTCAGAACCCATTTACACATTCTGCTTTATCAAGGGCCTGAAAGCCTGTGATTTCCTTTTTTTTTGACTGGGGATAACAACCTTTCTGAATCCACACTGCATGCCTAAATCACTAGCTATTGGAAATATTCATCTATAGGATGACCTGCATTTTAAATTAATAGAATGGGGTTCATTCTATTATTTTCTTTACTTTTATCTCTTCATTATTCCTTTCCTTCTTTCCCCGTGCTGTGCTTTTTATGTGATGTGTATTACTTTTGAGTTGTTCATTGTCATCCTGTGATACTCTGTTAATTGTATTTTTGTCTTATTATAACTCTCTCTGTGTGTGGCATCTGGCTTTTCAACTGTTTTGCAAACCATTTCTTTAGTCACTGGCCAGAATCCAGTCACCGGTTGTCACAAGAAGACCCATTAAGTTAAGATAGTTGTCGTAAATTGTGACTTGCCATTTGCCTATCCAAAGGAATAGGGAGTAGCCATCTCCTTAAGCTGCCTTCTTGGGAGTTAGATGTGTTAGGCATTACTGCAGGCTGGAGCCTAAGCTGAGGATCACAACAGATCAGAGGTTTCAAACAATTCCACATGTGAGGGCAGGCAGCCATGATAGATTTCCCTTTTCTTTCTTTCTTTTCTTCCCCCTCCCCACTTTGCTGCATTTCTCTCTCTCCCTCCCTCTTTCTCCTCCACTGACCCCAAATTTTTCCCACAGTTGTTAAATTCAGGTCAGCGCCAGCTGTTGCTTTGTGAGACCTTGACAGAGACCGTTTATGGTGACCGAGGTCAACTCATCAAATCTAAGGAACGGAAGGTGTTCCTGTTGAACGACATGCTGGTTTGCGCCAATATCAATTTCAAGTACGTGCCTGGAATATTTCTGCATGTCCTGGTGTGTTGGGGAAAAGGGAAGCATAAAGAGGCTGTGCTCTGGCATGTGGAGGAACACAAACATAAATGAAAAATGTAAAGTGACTTCTGTGCCCCTTAGGTGCAACCATGCACTGTCTCTTTGCATGCTTGTTTTGGGAAAGATAAAGCCAAATTTGGCACTTCAAAATATTATGGCCGCTAGGAGCTAAGGGTAGACGCTGCTATGATTACACCTTGCCATGAGGTGTGAGATATTGTCTGTGTAATTTGAGAAATGTTTGTGTGTCAGACCAAGGTGGGAAACCCACACACAGCCCCTCCCAGGAGTCAGATAGGATTCACCTTCCTCCAGAGTTTTAAAACAAAACAAAGCCAAGGCTGCAGTTGGACAGAGAATTTCAAGATTAGGAAAAACTGCAGTCAGAAAGCTGACAGAGGTGCAGTTGGAAGACTGGGGTGTGGAAATGAGCCATTGCAAGCGTGGGAAATGAGACAGCGAAACGGACATTTATAAGAGCATAAGCCTGAATAAAGAGGAAGACATCTTTGTTGCTCAACTAAGGCAGATTCATAAAGGAATTGCTGCCTTTATGACAAGTAAGAATGAAGATTTTTGTGGAGAAACGACCACCGATACAGATTGTATTGAATGCAGGTTTTCGCCAGGGAAGTGACCTTTGTTTCAATGTTTCTTTTCTGCAGGCCAATTGACACCAGGTAGGCCCAAAGTGTGGTGTGTGTTTTGCTTTTGTGGGGTTGAAGGTCTTTGTGAGAGTGCAGTTTAGCATGCCAGTCGTGGTCATGGCAGATGTCCCATGGCTTCTGTCTTCCTAGTTTGCAGAGCAGATATTGGCTCTAAGCATCCACAATGCTTGTAGTATGTACTGCAACCCTGCTAACAGGCACACGGTAGTGGCCATACATGCTGTGCTCTCTCTCTCTCTCTCTGTGTTTTGGAAAATGTTTATAGCTAGACTTTGCATTGACCTGTTGTTTAAGGAATATCTGTCAAAGAACCCCAAAACTGCTGCACGACAGAGGATTTGTGGCGTGATTTATTTTACACAGAACTTGAAAAGCGTTTTTCAAAAATAATTATTTACAGTTTCATAAAGCCCCTTCTTCTTTTGCTGAAGTAGTAAGTAGTTAAGTAAATAAATGAATAAATTCACATTTGTCACTTGCAGGTGGGGCTCTGTTACACATTCCACCACATAATGACATGCAAATAAACTATAGCCAATGGATAACACTATGCAAAACAATGCACATGCCAAATTAGTGTTGGATAATTTATTTGCGAGGCAGCATTTTGATTGTTTTGCCCGAGTCATGAATAGAGAAACCTTTCTTGCTTTGCGGCTCTTGCTCGGAAGATTGGGTGCATATGAGCTGGGGGGGGGGAGTGATGTGTGGCTTTCCTGGCCTAGGGATTCTGGGAGTCATAGTCTATAAAGAAAGAATGTTTCCAAGCTTGGGGCTCACTGCCGCAGAGTGATTCTGCTGCGCTTGAGCCTGCTTTGCCCTTCCTGGCTCTTTCCATTCTAAAACAAGGGGTTGTCGTTCTCACAGGGGCCAGCTCGAAATCAGCAGCCTTGTCCCACTGGGGCCCAAGTATATCGTGAAGTGGAACGCAGCCTTGCTGCAGGTCCAGGTGGTGGAAGTCGGGCAGGAGAGCAGCACCCAAGAGAAGGAAAGTGTTGTCATCCAGAACGTTGGGTCAAAAAAACACACGCCAAGCAGCCAGTCTTCACACAGTAGGTGGTGTCCGCTCTTCTCTGCCCCACTCCAGATCTGCCAGCTTGTTAAGATCTGCAAGATAGGAGTTTGCTTATGTCATGTGTCTCCCCCCCCCGCCCCAATCAATTCCTCCCAACCCAAACAACTAGGCCTAACAGAGTTACATTGTAGTTAGGATACAATTTCACTCCTTTTGTGATATAACTCTTTTTGGTTACTTACTAGCTACATATGACATCCCTACTTAGGTATCATGATCGTCATATATGAGTGCCGGCTTATACCTTATAGGCTTCTGATTTTGTAAAAAAGTATCTGTAGTTCTCAATAATAAGAAAATAAAGAGTTGCTTCAGACAAACTAACCAAAACAGCAATGAGCTTCTTTTTTGGGTCTTAGAAATGTAACAAATAACTTCCTGAAACTAACTTGCTAAGTTCTGTTTTTTGGTTACATTTCTATCTCACATTTCCTTCAGTGACCTCAATGCCACCGGTGGGTCTTCTCTCTACTTGATTCTCTCTGCTTTTTTGGCAGGCATAGGAATAGCCCGTTTAGGTTAATTTTAGGTCTCTTTTGTACGGAAAAGTGGCCTTCAAGTAAAAGGTCAAGAGGACCTCCCAGTGAAAGTGCACTTTCTCTCTCTCTCTCCCCCCCCCCCCCCCCCCCTCCCCCCAAAGTCTACTTGGGTCCCCCTCGCCTGTTTCAGGAGCTCCAAGATCTGCAGAAGGATCTCGCTGTGGTGGAACAGATAACACTGCTGATCAGTACTCTCCACGGCACCTACCAGGTGAGTCATGGAATTGTGGAACTGCTGTGGCCTTCATGCCTGGAACAGGCAGGCATCGGATTCCAGGACACTTTGTTGTTGTTGTTGGAGTAGGGGAGAGAGAGAGGGAGAGACATCCCTTCCCCATTGTTGCTCTATGTGAGAGACGGCGCTCGGAAAAGGAGCTGACTTGGGCCTTACGTCCCTCCCTCCCTCCTTCCCTCCCTTCCTTCCTTGCAGAACCTGAACATGACGGTAGCCCAGGACTGGTGCCTCGCTCTGCAGAGGCTGATGAGGGTGAAGGAAGAGGAGATCCATTCAGCCAACAAGTGCCGCCTGCGGCTCCTGCTTCCAGGGAAGCCAGACAAGTGAGCTCGGTTCCCCCACCCCAACCCTTGGAATGGCTTCTACGGGGGTGTCAGAGAGGGAGCTCAAGCGCAGAGAATGGTTTGGAATGGAAGGCAATGTTTTCAACTCCAGATCCCATCATCCTTCATCACTGGCCCCCTAAGGTCCGATAACTAGACCTGCAGCTACCAAGTATAACCTGAGGGTTTTCCTTGTCCTAGTGGTTTAGCTGATGAAGATGCCCAATGCTGGGTAAGGCTGAAGGAAAGGGTCAGAACACTTTGGGGGGTGGAATTAAAGCTGCAACAGCTGCCCTGCCCATATTAATCCCTGGAAGCCCCCTTCTTTGTGGGCCTTTTCAAACATGGGTGCCAGAAAAGGTGGACAATTTCTTTCCTTTTATGGGAGCTTTAGTACATCTGGACGTTTTTGAATATGTACAAGTGATCACTTCTTAACAAGACACTTTCTGCTCCTTATTCTTCCTGTGCTGTTCTTGGACTCAGGTCTGGCCGCCCTGTCAGTGTCATGGTGGTCTTCATCACCCCTAACCCGCTCAGCAAAATCTCCTGGGTGAACCGCCTACATCTGGCCAAAATTGCCCTCCGTAAGTAACCTCCTTTGCTTGAAAAGATATTTCATCAAATCAACTGAATGTTTCATGCAAGCTCTTGAGTAGCACAAGGCTCTTCTTCTTGGGGTTGTTTAAGAGAAACAAGAGAGAATGAAAGAGAGAGAGAGTGAGGAGAAACAAAGGTATTTCAGCAAATCAGTAGCAGAGAATGTGAGGGTCTGTAACTGTTGTTGGATCCCAGTTCCCATCATCCCTGACCATTGCCCATCTTTGTCTAGAGCTGGTCAGAGTAAAAGGGTCTAAGAGGCCACCGACGCTGCCATCCTGGTGTTAATCTACACTGAGAAACAACCCCTTTTAAAAATATAATGCATGTGATCACATAATGTGCGACGGAGCAGCTGAAGCAGGAAGAAGCCTTTTGCGACAGTATGTCTTGCTATAAAATGCAGCCTAGGACAGTGGCTGAGGGCTTTGGGTGAGGATCAGGAGGATGTGGAAAGTGGAAGTTTTATTTAGCCACCACTGAATGGCTAATTATGCTCTGTGTGAAGAAAATGCTTCCTTTTTATCACTTTGTACTTGTTCTCCACATTCTTTGGTGTTTTTTTTTTTAATCTCGTCAAACATTCAGGCTTGGCTCCTTCTCCTGAACAGCCCTCCCTCCCCTTTTGGGAATTTCAGTTTTGCTTGTGCCTAATTACACTGAGCAATGTACAGCTCTGGTGCCCGTCTTTCGAGGGTACAATCTGTAGGCTTCTTCCCTCCCCCCCACCCCGCCCTCCCACTTCCCATTAGCTTCCTTTTTGGTTTGTGTTTTTAATTTTTCTGTAATTAAAGAGCCGAATCACCACTCCCTGAGGCAGCCAGTGAAGGAGAGGAAATAAATTGCCCATGTTCCCCCATGAGTAGTGTGAGTCCGATCTGAATTTTTTTTTTCCAGAAAAGAAGTAGAAAGGCCCTTGACTGTTCAGTCTTCTGCCTGGACTCCTGTCTGCAAAACAATTTATATTTTAATTTTAGAGGAAAGGGCAAGAGGAGGATCCTTTGGATGTTGCTGGACTACAACCCCTGTGATTCCTAATCCCTGAGTCTACTGGCTGGGGATGATGGGAGTTGCAATCCAACAACAAGTGGCAGATACGTGCCTCTCAGTCTCTCTCTCTTTCTGTGTGTGTGTAATATATACCATCCACTGGTTTCATGCCTTCATGGTGATTCTGTTTCTACTTGACTCCCAGAATCTTGTAGCCCACTGGGTGTTTCTGGGATTTGAAGTCCAAAAAAGTAACCTTTCCAAGCTCTGTAGAGGCCTGTCTGTTAAGAAGGCTGAAACTCTAATTCTAAAGCATGCTAACAAGGACGCACCAGGGCTTTGCTTTTCTTTCCTCAAAGAGATGCAACTGTTGTCAATTCCACAATCTTTCCAGCTCCAGGTTTAAGATGCTTAGATTTTCTTGCACAAAACCATGGTGGAAAATTAGTTCGGCAAAAGGACTTTTTCGTCTGGTATTTGGTTGAGGGAAAAATGTTAAAAAGATTTCCCAAGAAAACTTTCTTATGAGCCGTGTCTGCCGGGCTCCAGTTATTTTGGAAAAGCTCCCACTGTCCTTGGTCTTTTGCTGAAGCTGGCTCATGTAGGCGGCTTTTAAAAGGATGAAAGCTCTCTGTTGATTGTCTCCAATGGAGACCATCCCCTCTGGAAGCTTGCAGGGAGGAGAAGCCTCAAGACCAATAACCCCACCATGTCATTGTTCAGAGTCACTGTTCTGAGCAACTACTGCCCTTTAATCTTGTCACAAAATTGGAGGAAAGAGGGCTGGCAAATGGCTCCAAGCAGCCTCCAACCTCCCCCTTTTTACTTTTCAAACTCCCTCAAAGACACTTCTGGCTCCTTCTTATCTCCTTTTTGTACTTAACCCTGGCAGCCACTGTGGGGAGAATCCCCCCACCTTCTTTTATTTTTTAATGGAAGAGAGAGAGAAAAAAACATCATTTGAAATCTTATTTGAATTCCTGACTTCCCCTAGGCACTGATGATTTGATTTTCTTGGGTGGTTTTTTTGTTGTTGTTTGTTTGTTTGTCAAAAAAATAAAAATAAAATAAAGGAACTGTTGGTGTATTTTAATCCAAAACTGTCTCCAGGAAAATAACGGTATCTACCACTTCAAAATAAAATGTGTTAGGAACTTTAATGGAAAGGAACATTTTTGAAAAATACATAGGACTTTGTCCTCCTTGTGTAGCTGTTGGTGACATAGCTTATTGGCTTAGGGTACTGAATGCTCGTATGCACTGGCCTGAAAGCTAGCAGAAGGCCAAAACTTTATCTCTTTTGTGCACAAATAAGGTACACACCCACCCAAGTGGAAGCTGTTGATCTTTAAAGCAGATCCATTTTCTCCAAAAATAAAGCTGCTACAACACATTAGAGGAGGTTCCTTCTTAACGGCTACTGACAGCTGACAGCTGCCCCTCCCCATCCACCTTTTTGTATCCCTGGAAATCCACCCTGACTGATGACCATCCATCCTTCCTTAGTTAAGAAAGTTCCAGTGAAGGAGACCCCATCCCTTTCTGAGGGACTCTACTGTCAAGCAGCTCTTACAAGGGATGCCAGATTGAGTCAGAACTTCAGTTCCCATAATGTTAGATCTGTTGGTTTGGGTTCCACATCCCAGAGTAGCACAAAACACACTTGCTCCATCATCCCCAGGACAGCTCCTGAGTTATTTGGAGATGGCTTTTTTATCACCTCTTGGTCTTCTCCTGTACTGGCTAAACATGCCTGTTTCCCTCTACTGTTGGTCATAGGCCTTGGTGTCATGGCCTTTTACCTTTCTCTGGATGCATCCCAGCTCACCCATAGCCTTCTTAGGGATATGATGGGAGTTGTGGCTTGACACCTTCAGAGGTGCCAACATAAGTCATGCAGGCTTAACAACCTTTCTCCCTCTCCCTGTGCCCCCTTTCTTTTCATTTTTTGGCTGAAGGAGAAGAAAACCAGCCTGGCTGGTTATGTCCAGAAGAGGATAAGAAGAGCAAAGCTCCCTTCTGGTGTCCCATCTTGGTCTGCCGCCTCCCTGCCTTTTCCTCCAGGGCTCTTGATCTACAGGTAAGAAAGCGTGAAGCTCTCCCTGCTCTCCCTCCCCCTTTCCTCTCCCCCCCTTGTGTTTCCATGGGGCTGGTGGACAAGAAAAGTGGAACACTGTGAAGAGGAGTTGCTGGGAGTGGAACCTGGAGATCTGTGTGCTGAGACATCAGGGCTACATCCCGTAGAGTGTATTCCCTTGGCTGCATGTACAAAATTGACTCAATTTCTACTTCTTTGCCCGCATCGGCAGCAGCTTTCTATCTCGAGCTATTAGCTCAGCACTTCCTACTCTGTAGAGCAGGCAGGTATTTGTCATTTGCTGTTGGGAAGACAAAATAGGATGTCGGGGGGGGGCAGTCTAGGAAGGAATTGCACAGTGAATCTGGGAGAGCTTTTTCAGAGAAGCCCCCACAGCTGCCTTTTTTAGGCACAAGGAGACCCTCTCATCTTTGCAACTTTTCCGTCCTCTGTATCTTGATATTTCTAAGCTCCATTAAGTATCTTCCTTTAGCCAGGAACTCTTGGCCCCTTGCCTGAGAACTCTCACATGCCTCTGGCCAACCCAGGAAACTCCAGCGAGCACAAGAAGGGGAGCCTGGCTCTCCTTGGGCAGCAATTAGTGTTCTATTTTGGGTGGGTGGCCTTCCTGTGATCAATAGATTGGGAGTGCCCTGGCAGCCTAGAAGATGCAAGACCCAATGTGCCAGCTGAGCCATCACAAGACCTCATTAGTCTAGAAAACAACATAAATCAATGCCGCTTTCAGGCAGATGGGTGACTTGTCTGGTTCTGAACTCTTCCCAGCAAACTCAAGAGGCAAGATCCTGGCAGCTTGGAGGCTTGTTTTCTTTGTTTGGCCTCCTGGCCAGTTCTTTGTTGGTTGTGGCTTGCAGCTGGGGTGTGGGTGAAGACCTACGTAGATCCGCTGAGGATGTTGAAACCTCAACTTGGAATTTTTGAAGGCTAAGAGTAGGATAACTGGGCATATGCAGAATGCTGTTCTTTCACCGCTGGATAGTCATGACTCATGGGCTGTTCTTCTCATAAAATCGTAGTGTATGTAAGTGACAAGACAGCAAAAGTTTACCTCTCTAGTGGAAAGGCACCATAGTAGTCCTCAGCAAAACCCCCACCCCACCACCTCTGTACTAAAACCCATCAATTTACTTCAACCTCTCTCTTCCTGCAACTCCTGACTGACTTGGCTTTCTGTCTTTAGGGCAACAGAAGACTTCTGAATCTTGTGTGTGCGTGTGTGTCTTTCTCTTTTTTGTAATCCAATTAGTGGCAGTAATGGATCTGCAGCTACTGGGGCCACCGGCTGTGTCCTACTCACCCCCCTCCTGCAGCTCCAGAGGGGAGGATCCATGTCTGTCGAGGCCTGTGTGCCTCTCTCTTTCTCTCTCTGCCATCTTTCCTCAAGGCCTGGTTGCCGTTTTGTCTAATTACACCAAACGACAGCAAGATTTCCTCCGGGAATGGCAGACTCATTTTCCCACCACACACTTTTTTTTTTTTTTCCCAAAAGCGTCTGCTTTTTCTTCTTCTCTGTCTCCAACATCACGACCGGCTGCAGATCTTGCTCTTTTTGATGATCTATGGGTTTGTTCTCGCCCCCACTTCTTTTCTCGAGGAAAAAAAAGATGATAAAGGGAAGCAGATGGAAGGAAGGACATTCTGGGTTCAGAGATGATGATTAATCTACAAAGCTCCTTTTGACTCCCAATGTCCTTCCCTCACTTCCCTCCTACCCCAAAGGATCAGTGGGTGGTGGGGAGCTTTCCCGGCTCCTTCTCCTTTTATGGTGTCCTTTGGATTTCAAAGGGTTGCCTCTGTTTCACTCCTGGTGAGAAGGAAGTGTACTTTCTTTTTGTGGGGAAGGTGGGAGCAGTGGGGGAGGGCCCATGAAATATTCGGGACTCTCTTGAGTCACCTTCCATCCTCTCTCGTTTCTCTAGGCCACAACTGGGGAACCAATTTCTCCACCCTTGACACATTTTAGAGTCTTACCACTACCAATCTGCTCAAGGTCCCCGGTTACAAAGGTGAACCGAGGCTTGCTTCATGCAGTGGCCCACCCGGAGCTCTAGACATGGAATAGGAAGCTGACACTCTCTCCTGCCCCGTTTTCTCCAGCAACTGCTTGCTTTACAGACCTACAAGTTGTAGTGTGGCAGAGTCATGGGTCAGAGTGCTGGGACCTTTTGATTATAGAGAGAATTATATCCTTCTGGACACCAAACTCCTTTTAAGTGAGAACCACCAGACTAGCTTGGGAGGGAGATGGATCTTCCATGGCAATAATATAGTGTTGTGAGCTGTGCCTGTTGATAATACAAGGGATGGCTTGGTCATGAATGGACAGTGAAGAGCTATTGGCTTTACAAAAGACCCACTTGTGGCACAGCTGAACCCTACTGGATTTTCTCCTGATTGTGACCAAAATCCTCACCCTCTTTCTGTTGCTTCTACTTCTGATTCACAACCCCCTCTATTTATTAATGTTTTTGTTTAAATCCCATACCCAGCTGGGGGCCGCCATTCACAGCCCAGTCCATTCCTCCTTGTTGGGTTTCTCTGCCATCAGCACTTCTCTTCCACAAGGCTATCTCTGGGTGAGTTTGCACTGTAGTGACCTGTGAGTGGCTACCAACCGGGCACCATTGGAAGTAGCCCTTTCCCTTTCTGTGTAACTCAACCCTTGACAAGTTTTTAAACAACCACCATTGCCTATAAACAATGCATACACTTAGTCCTTTATTCCAGCCAGGTAGCCATACAGATGTTCCAGCTGATGGAAGTTGCAGTTGGATACATATCTGCAGGGCTGCTAGTTTTGGGGGAGGCTGTATGCGATCCTCCCTGGGGTGTGCATGTCCTCCTCCTTATCTGTTGAATGGGAATAAAAGCTACCCAGCGCCATTTATCTCACCTGCCAGAATCAAGTAGCTAAAAATGTCACCACTGCAATACTGGATTAAGTTATGTCTTACATGAAGCTTGAAGGCTTGAAACAGATAACAGGTTTGAAGATGGGAAATGACAGCAGTTTGTGAGAAATATTGCTGTACAAGTTGTGTACAGGGAGAGGCATGTAGCCGTGTTTGGCTTCTTCCTCCTTGTAGCCTGTGGCCAAACTGGTTTGGACAATCATTTCTAAAATGATTTAAGACGCTGGTTTGAGCATAGATGACTAGACCTACCAGGAACGACAGGGGCGGCTCTTCTAAACTGCTTTCAAATGGCTCTCCAAAATAATGTTATCGTTTTCAGCCATAGTTTTCATCTGAGCAAATTGCACAGCAATCTCCTTTAAATGGGTTTGCTGTGACCCAGGAAGGTGACTGCATAAACCTAAACCAGTTTAACAGCTGTTCTCTCTCAATTGCCCTCTCTCCTTCCCCCCCAAACTGTTGGCAGTTCTAATAAGATACTATGACTGAAAGGCAGAAGGAATGAAACTGTAGCTGGCTTGCAGTTCCTTCCATCGCACAACAGCTAGACGTGGTGGTTGGGGGATTCTGGGCATTGTAGTTCAAAAAGTAGCACATCTGATCTCCAGATGTCGCCACACCCTGTGTTAGGCCAACTAACTGCTGGATCCTTTTGATGCAGCACCTTAGCGATGCCTGTGTGGCCTTCCCATCAGCCTTAGCCAGGAAAACAGTGGCGAGGGATGTATTCTTTTGCCAAGCCAAGTGCAGCCGTGGGTGGGTGGGGCAATTAGGTGTAAGCTAAATGTAACTAGCTAGTTTCTAGAGAATGCCACAAAGACTCATGGATGGGTTTGTGGCAACTGATTAACTCCAGGGCTAACCCTCTGGGAAGGCGAGTGTGGGAATAAGGGTTGGGGGGGGAGAGATACTTTTTGATCCAGGGTGGTGGCCTTCATGCTGTCCTTTGGTGCTTCTGTTGTCTCCTCCAGGTGGGGGGAGGCCAGGAAGGGGCCGGGGGGCAAGTGGAGATCTTTTCCTTGAACCGGTCAGTGCCTCGCGTGGTCAAGTCCTTCCCGGTGGCTTCCCAAGTGCTGTGTTCTGACTACATTCCAGAGCGGACCGAAGAGGAGAGGACAGAAGATTCGGAAACAGACGCAGACCAAGTTTTGCCAGCACAGCCGGTGATTTGCCTCGGGCTGCAGGATGGCAGGTAAGGGATGGGTGGATGATGGTGGTGGTGGTCTGTGGTTCTGAGTGCTCCCAGAGGCCCCTAAAGTGCTGGGAGTGGGTGCTTTTGTTGACCAGCCTCCAGGGAACATGAGCAGGATGATGACATCATCTGTCTTAGGGGATCCTGCCTGTGGAGAGGGCTAGAGATTATGGCCGTCTTTGGCTTGCACATTATTTGAATGGTCCACTGGACATTTTGAGCCAGCAGAATGTGGCTTGTTCAGGGAAGTCATCAAAGTATTCCCTGCCCACACAGTAGGCAATTTGGCTTCTCCTCCAGATGCCCACTCAATGAATTCAAACAGTTTATTGTATTCTTGAAGGCTTTTATGACCGGGGTCTGATGGTTGTTGTGGTTTTTTTGGGCTCTTTGGCCGTGTTCTGAACATGGCCAAAGAGCCCGAAAAACCCACGACAACCATCAATCCAAACAGTTGTTGCTGTTAATTTGAAAGGAGGGTGGGGGAACCCTTCTGCATGTGCTCAGAGGCAGTGCCCCATTTGTGTGCCACCTTCTATATTTATTTATTTATTTATTTATCTATTTATCTATCTATCTATTTATTTATTTATTTATTCATTCATTCAATCAATCAATCAATTTATATGCTGCCCGCTCTACTCAAAGGTCTCTGGGCGGCTCACAATTAAAAAACAATAAAAGATAAAATGCTTATAACACAATTAAAATACAATCTAAAAATTGCCATCAGGACCCACAGTTCATGTTATTGCAATTAAAAGCCTTCTGGAACAGGAAGGTTTTGACCTGGCACCGAAATGTCATCAGCATTGGCACCAGACGAATCTCAGTCGGGAGAGCATTCCAAAGTCTGGGGGCAGCTGCCGAAAAGGCCCTTTGTTTACAAGCCATCCCTCTTACCTCCTTAAGGGACAGCTCTTTCAAAAGGCCCCCCTGGCTAGATCTTAACTGTCGGGTAGGCTCATATGGAAGGGGGCGGTCATTCAGGTATCCAGGGCCCAAGCTGTTTATCAGCCATTTATCAGCCGAGATCAGAATTGATCTCAGGTATGGAAGAGTCACATTTTCTGGGTGGAAGATTCAGCCCCCAAATGAGCCAGGTCGTCCAGCCTTACACTTTTGGGAGGAGTGTGTGAAAAATGGCCAATGTGCTCCGGTAGCTCCCTAATCAGCCACCAGAGGGAACTCGTTATTTTCAAGCACTTCTTTCCATTTTCTCCATCCATGACAATGTGGATCTCTCATGTCTGTTTCTCTCATCCTAGCATCCTGGTTTATGGAAGTGTGGACACAGGAACCCAGTGCTTGCTGACGGGCAAAAGCCCTGGACTTCAGCCTGTCCTGTGCCTGAAGCACAACACAGACTATCTCTTCGCTGGCCTGCAGAGTGGAACCATTGCTGCCTATGCCAGAAACAATGGTGAGCTTTCCTGGGGAAAGCGGAGGAGCAGACCACCTTAAACCCTAACTGTTTCATGTGAGATGTTTGGAGAACGGTTGTACCGGCACTGACCCCCCTCCCCCCCAAGCCAATTTCCATGGACAAAGAGAGATTTTTGAAGCCAGGTCTCTTGATTCCCAGTCCATCACTCTGCCCAACAGTTCCGACAGACAGTGCACCCTACTGGCTCTCATACGGAATTCACTGTATGGTGTATTTTCTGAACAAGCTCCAGAACATGTTCTCTTCTAGAAAACCCCCAGGAAATCCTATAAGACCTTCCAAAAGTCAATTTCCCTCCCCCAAAGGCACCTGAAAAATAAATTGGCTATGTTGATTTATCCCTCCTCCAGGCTCCCCTCTAGGAGAAGGCTTCATCCATACTTTGTTTTCCATGCACATTTAATTAATTTTAAATCTATTTTGATTTCCAGTAGGTTGCAGCTGGGGAAGGGGGAGTGAAAAACACTACCTGTTCTACCTCCCTCTCCCACCCCTCAATTACTGAGAAAATACTATATGCTAATTGACTTTCAAAATGCAGTGTCTGGAATTCAGGTCCCAAGACAAAATCCCTATTTGAAACCTCTGTAATTTCCTATTGATTGGCTGTCAGTTCGTTCTGGCAGGAGAGGTGGGTGGAATGGCCATTTTACTGCCACTGAAGCCTGTCAGCTGTATTTTAATTCTCCTTCCCTGTAATTTTTTTTTTTTTTGCTTTCCCTCCCTTCTTTTTGATAATCAGAAAGGCTCATGTTTGGGTCAGTTAAATTCAGTTTTATTTGACAAGAGTGGAAATTGCAAATGTACGTCACTATCACTTCAGTGTATTTGGGCTTATGGGAGAGAAGGTTCATAGAGTCCCCCTTTGGTTAGGTTTATGCAGATCACGGATTCTGAAACCAAAAGAAGGGAAGAAAGAGAGAAGGAACTGGGCATGTTTAGCCTTGAGAAAAGAAGGCTGAGGGGAGATAGGATTGCACTCTTCAAAGACTTAAAAGGTAGTCATACAGAGGAGGGGCAGGATCTGTTCTCAGTTATCCCAGAGTGCAAGGCATGTAATGATGGACTGAAGCTACAAAACGCCAGGAAAAAAAAACTTCTTAACTATTAGAACAGCATGACCAGGGACCCCATGACCTTGAGAGATGATGAACACTTCAACACTGGAGGCATTCAAGAGAAAAACTGGACCACCCTCTCTCCGATCTGTTTGGATTTGGGTTCCTGCCTTGAGCAGGGGGTTCGACTTGATAGCCTTGAAAGGGTCCCTTCCATGATTTTTATTTTCATTGAAACAGAAGTTAAGGTGGGTTTGGGAAAGATGGACTTCCTGTTTAAAAGGAGGACCTCTCCTTTTAGCCTGAACATGCTCTAGAGGTTGAGGGCTCAGAAAGAGGACAGACATTGCAGCCAGAGGATCAAGACTCAGGACATCCCCCAAATTTTACTCCCCAGAAGTTAGAAATAAAAATAATGGGGGATGGGAATGGTTATTAAACCACGCAGCAGCATTGTTGTTTAACCACTAGAAAAGTAACTTTTAAAGTATTGTTAGAAAGCTTAATAAATAAATTTTAATGAACCATTCTCATGCTCTTCCATGATTTTGAAATGATTACAACATTGTGCATTAGATGAAGAAAGTTGGTATAGAAATAGGTTTATCTTCCTTTTCCCCAGCTCCTGCCAACCTAGCAGTTTGAAAGCATATAAAAATGTGAGTAGATAAATAGGTACCACCACGGTGGGAAGGTAAACGGTGTTCCGTGTCTAGTCACACTGGCCACGTGACCACAGAAACTGTCTTCGGACAAACGCTGGCTCTACGGCTTGGAGACGGGGATGAGCACCGCGCCCTAGAGTTGGACACGACTGGACTAAATGTCAAGGGGAAACTTTACCTTAACATTCACATGAACAGTTACTTCTCTTTATCAAATCTTAAAAGTAGTTTTAGTTTATGTTTCTTTACAGTGTTTGAACCCTTTCCCCTGCTCATCCAGGTGGAGTTAATTCCATCTCCTAATCAAGCGTGGATTCATCTCCACTTTCTCCTCCTTTTCCCAGATCTCTGTGTTGCTATTACATTCCACCCCCTCCAAAGTGGGTTTGGCTCTCTCTTCTTCCACATTCCATTAAACACCCACAATCTGCGACTCGTTGCCCTCTGTTCCGGGGTTATAAACAGATGTTTACGTGGAGCTTCCAAACTCCACTTGGCAGCATATTGCTTTTTATTAATTAGCTTTTGATAAGCCATTTATGTTTTTTAATTAAAGTGTGTGTGTGTTGTATGGAGAGGGAGGCAAAGAAAAAATGTTGAGGGAAATAAGGAATGAAAAGGCATAATCACCCTAGCAGATGAGGGTATGTTTAATCAGCCCCTTACGTCTGCAGAGGGCAAGGTAGGCACAAGATTCTTGGCGTAGAAGAATTTACCAGACTGGTGTACCTTCTCTGGTTAGCAAAAAAAACACCACCCTCATTTTCCTCCCTATCTTTACCGAAATGAGAAATTATACTGGAGTTACTTTTTTGTTACTATTTAGTTCAAAGAACTACAAAGTAATAACAGTGAGTTTAAATTTAAACGGACTGGGAAAAGTAAGGTACAATTTTCTTCCTTTTCTACACTCCTCTTTAGGTCATAAGCAAGACCTTGGAGAACCTGCAAGTTCTGTTAAATCAGACCCAATATTGCTTCCGAGAGCAGTGGGCTTCTGAATATAATTTGCTTGGAAACATGAGGCAGAGGATGCCGTCAGACTCTCACCCAGCTGGTGGGTTTCCCAGCGGTTGACTTCTGTAGGAAATGGGATGCTGGACTGGATGGGCCTTCCGTTCGCTTCCCCTCAGAATGAACCTCACCCCTTTAGCAAGTCCATGAGTAAGATTCAAGGCCAGTAGCTCCTTCCAGCATGGATGCTCAAGGCCACCCTACATCTGCGCGTAGCTGGGAGGTTCTGAGAACTGTTTCCCACGATTGAATCTCACACCAATTTCCCACAGTCCATTCCTGCTAGCTGGGGCTGGTGGGAGTTTGTGTCCCACAATGTCTGAAAGGCCCAGAGGGTCTCCTGCTGCAATTTGAGCCGGGTCTCCTCTGCAGGGAAGGCGGGCATGCCATGCAGGACATACCTGCTACCTGTGCCGTGGATAGGCATGCTTGCATAACTGAGAGACATCGGTGGGAGCAAGCAGCGTTATCAGAGTGCCAGCTTGCTTCAAAACTCTACCAAGAAAACAGGGTTTTTTTTTTTTCAAAAAAAGAGAAAGCATTGCATGTTAAGGGTGGTTTGGTTGACAGTAGCTTTACGCACGATCACAAGATGCACCATGAAGGGAAATATTACCAAAGTGCCTCAAGAATCCTCATCTCCCTCAGCAGCTTTTTCTTCTACAAGCAGGTGGAATCTGTGGTGAAAACCTTACAATTGGCAATTCCCCTTTATCTCTCTTTTAGACCCGCTCGCTGGCGGTTGTTGCTGGAGTTGCCGTTTCAAGCTTGACCTTCGCTTTGCTACTTTCCCCTTTCAAAACCTGTTCGGCATGTGGGGCTGGGTCCAAGAAGCTTTCCTTTGGAGCCTGCACTGAGCAGGGGGTGTTAACACGCCAGCAGGGCCCAAAGTGTAGGATAAATGTGGGGGGCGGGAGAGGTGAGGCTGTTCCCACAGCCGGGGCAGGGTTTTTATTTCTGTGTGGAAGTTGTTCACCTGGATGAAAGTGAGACTGAGTTAAGCATCGGTGCCTTGGAAAGATGGAAACGCTGAAGGCTGAAGTAATTTCCCAGAGGCCTGGCTCTGTTCCTGGCTGCCTGCCTGCCTGCCTTTTGGTGCTCTGATTGCTTTCAGCCATCATTTTGGGGGGTGGGGAGGCATCGACATGTGTCTGGGTCCCATTTGTAACATGCAGGGCAAGTAGGTTTCTGGGGAGCAAAGGAGGAGTGTAATGTAGCTGGAGCTTCTGCTTTGCCTGGAGAAGAACCCAGGTTTTGACTCCCATCGTCTCCAGCTGGTGTGGGACTGGGCCCCATCCTGCCTAAATACTGTACTGGAGAACCAATAAAATAGTGGGCTCAGTAGACCAATGGTCTAGACCTCATTGGAAGGCAGTTTCCCACATTCCTATTTAAATTGCTCCTTCATTCTGAAACATGAGGTCTAGAAACTTACATTATTTTCAGGCGAAACATCATGGCTCACTAGGGGAGGTCTTGCTTGGCATTAAGAAGAAGGTCCCAGGTTTTATCCCTAGTATCCTCCAGGTAGGAATGGGAAAGAAATCCTGTCTGAAACACCCTGGTCAGCCAATGCTGCAAGTCACTCTAGACCAGAAGTTGGCAACCTAGTGCACTTGAGATGCTCTTGATCAGATGTAGGCAAACCAGTGACCTCCAAGTGTTCTGGATCAGAGACAGGCAAACCTCTACACTTTCTAGATCAGAGGTAGGCCATCTAGTGCCTTCCAAAGTCAATTTTTTTCTGGATCAGATCTGCCAGAATCTTCCATTCAGCCATGGCCATACTAGCTGCGGGACTGAGGGCCCAAAAAAATAGACACTGGGAGGCAGCAAGGTTTGGGAGGAGACAACTCTGTGCTGGGTTGTCTGCCCTCACCCCTTAGGCTTGCTGGCCACCTTCAGCTCCAGGGCTCCTTATGAAGGCTACAGAAACATTCAGTAGAGACTCCCATGGCTTTTGTACATGAAGGTAGGAGCAGGCGCCTTTCTCTTCTTTGCTTCAAACATCAAAATGTCTTGGGGTGCTCTCTTTTACTGCACTAAAATCCCTCTCCCAAATCTTTGGACTCATGCTGGAAACCAATCCAGTTTTATAATTTCTGTAGAATCGGGTGCTCCTTGAGTTCTACATTCTTGCTGCACCTTTTGGAGCCCCTCACCTTCAGAAGTGGCTTGACTTCCCCACATGCCTTTTCAAAATGTTTCTTCCCACAGCAGGCCTGCCTAATTCTTTGCTTTCTTTTTCCTAGCCACAGGGGGACTCTGGGATGCGGAGGCTGAGCCCACGTGCCTTGCAGTCGGTCTGGCCCCAGTGCGGACCCTGCTGACCTTGGATGACGCCCTGTGGGCCAGCTGTGGCAACCAAGTCACTGTGTTCGATGCTGCCTCCCTGAAAGCACAGGTAGGGGTGGCCTTGGCTATGTGTCAGGTTGGTTCTTGCCTCCTCCTCCTCCTCCTGTGAAAGCACTGGCTCTTGTCTGATTTGGGAAGCTGAGCAGGGCTGAGCCTGGCCAGTGCTTGGATGGGAGACCTGCCAGGGAATTCCCAGGCTCCCACTGGTCTAATTCAGGGGAAAGCAGCTTCTTCCAGTGTTCCTAACTGGAAGTCAGATTCAATCATCAGCCCAGTTGACTGTTGTTGTTGTTGTTGTTGTTGGGGTTGCCATCTTTGCTTCAGGCAAGAAAATGTGTTGGGCAGGGTAGATGGGAAGGAAGGACCTAGTCTGAGGAATTCATTCCATGGGTTGCTGTAATCCCTGTGGTGTGACCACTGTGTGGCGCTGTTACAGCATGCAGCTTGGCTTTGGTTCATGGGCTGCGCACACAGCTGGCCATTTCTTGCTTTTCCTCCCTCCCTTTCCCAGCCCTTCCTTTGGTGAATGAACCAGCAACCACTTTATATATGCACAGAAAAAGAGAGAAAGCTCTGTGTATGTGTGTGTGTGTACATTTTATCGACTTGGCAAATTTCTCAGTTGACCGGCCGTGTGGCCTCCCTCCTCCCTCTGTGCATCTCAGTTCTATTATTCATGAGATGAACATGCTGCCCCACTGTGAGGTTGCCTTAACCATGCCTGCTCGTGTCTTCGCAGATCAGTTGTTGAATTGTAAGATCATTAAAACAAAAAAACAAAAAAAATTTACCCCAATGCTCCATTGTTGCAGGGACTAGGCTGTGGGAAAACTCAAGCCTCAGTTGGTGTCTCGGAGGCACTGGCAAACTAGCACAGCTCCCTCTGCAACTTTCAATGTGCAGGCATCAGGAGTTCCTGTTTCCTGTCTCAAAGAAAGAAAGCGGTAGCATAACAGGTGCAAAACATGAAGGGGGGGGAAGAGCAAATACTCTAGAGGTTGGAAGCAGGAGTTTCTCTCTTGAGCAATGCACCATGAGCAAAAAGGAGAAAGGGAACCTATTTCAGGCACTTTGGTTTAGGGGGAAAATGAAGGTGAACTGTGGTGGGGAGGGGAACCCAGCAGGCAGTCAACGTTTTTAAGGCAATCCAGGGTGTGAAGTGAGCAAATATATTTGATACCTCTATTATTCCCTTTTCTCATATATAAGCATGGGAAACTCAGAGGAAGCTGTTTGGCAGTGAGGTTCAAAGACGGCAAACCAGAAGCCCCTCTAGCACTCAGCGTCTGATTTGATGGGTGGGATTTCCCATCCATGTAAGGTGTTCAGACGTCGGCTGTCTTGAATGCTCTTTTCTTGAGCGGGAGGGTTAAAGAACTCCTGGAGCAGGAGATGTCCACATCTCCTAGCCATGGAAGTAAAACAGAATGGCAGTGTGTTAAGTAGCAGTGCTTGTTAAATCACCCACCCACCCCGCTGCTTTTTAAAATAGTCCAGCGGGAAGGAATTCTTCTGTTTAGGCAGCCTCTACTAGGATGTAAAGGGAAGGTAAAGGAAGGGAGACCGTCAGCCTGTGGCCATGCTAGCTGGTGGTGGGGTGGGGATACTGGGAGTTGTAATGGCATAAAAGGAAGACTCTTCAACAAGAGGGTGTGCCTTTGAGTTCCAGGTCCCGAGGGACGAGTGAATACATGGGAGGGAGACCACCTTGGCAATGTGCTCCTGAGCATTAGGTGGGATTTGTTAGAATCAGATGGCAAGTGCTTAAAGGAAGGAGAAACGTGCAGAAATGACAAAGGCTTTCTCTGTGTACGTGGGGGACAACCTGATGTTTTGCTTTGATGTCACCACAACGAAGATGGAAAGGTTTTCTTCGCATGGGTAGGTACAACAGCAAAGCATGGATCCATGGGGGCAGCACATATTCACAACTCTGCCCCGTTGACAGTTGAACCCAGCACAAAGTTTCAGCATTGCTTTTACGCATTGCCAGAGGAGGGAGCATTTTCAGGAAGGGGGTGGGGTCGGGATCCAGCCATATCTGCCCTATTCTGAGTTCAGAGATGGACTGACCTAGATTTCTGTCTTCCTGCTGTGCAGCAGCCAGCCTTGAACTAGTTATTCCATGAAGCAATAACAGGCCAATCTTCCACTTGGTGCTACCGTCAGGGGACCCTGTTTGCCTCTCTGCTGGGCTTTTTTCAGAGCAAATGGCTACTGCCTCCTCTTCTGGAACCGCAAAGTGGTTTGGAGTTTTGAGGTGGTTGCTTTTTCCCCCTGTTTTGCTTTTGCCAGGCCATGCCTTCCATAAAGTGTTGATATAGCGTTCTTTTCCTGCTGACTTAGTTCCCAAGAAGCAATGGCCTTGTTCTTTGTGCTCATTAAGTGTAGGGGAGCTGCTTTTTGGATCTCCCGGGGGAACTTTTTAAAGATCCAGAGTCACTCAAGCACAGAGGGAGTTCCCACAGCAGCACCGTGGACTTTGGGGCCAGACGATAAGGATTAGAAGCTGACGAGAGGACAGGAAAGCTTAACGTAGGTGTTGGGAACCACAGGCCCTGGAGCTGCGGCTGGCTGTCCTGGGCCTTCCCGGTTGGCCATGGCTGCTTTCCCCATGACTCGATCCATGGGTGGTTTCCTAGCTTTTTCCACAAGCTCTCTTCCCTGTTCTTAGAGGCTGAAATGGTGACAGTTTAACAGCTTTGTGAAAAAGTTTGCTCTGCTGATTTTACCTGGGGTCCCATCTGCTAAGGGGACACGGGGCCTCAGTTTCCCTACCTTTGTTCTAGCATGAGAGCTTGTGCCACCACTGGCTGTGCTGACTGGGGCTGATGTGAGTTCCAGTCCAGCTGCATCTGATGGGATTCGAGGGGGGGGGAGAGAGGATATACTCCCTGCCCTGACGTAAGATCTGAACTTTAGGCGTTGCTCACTGACTGCTGAAATAACACAGGCCTTAGTGGGTTCTAAAGATGCTATTAAACTGGATATGGATGTATAAAACAATAAAATTGCAGCCAAAGGGATTTTGGGTCCTTTATTCCAACTCTTTCCTGGATGCAAGGAATCCAGAACTACATCATTTCTAGAAGATGGCATTGGCTACCCATTGTGGCGTGATGGTTAAACTGCAGTCCTGCAGCCAAAACTCTGCTCACGGCCCAGGGTTCAATTCCAGGTAGCCAGCTTGAGGTTGACTTAGCTTGCCATCCTTCTGAGGTCGGTAAATTGAGCGCCCAGCGTGCAAGGGGGGGCAATGTGTGGCCTTCGTAATTAAATTGCAGACTACCCAGAGAGTGCTTTAAGCGCTATGGGTGGTATATAAACAGCACACTTTGCTTTGCTTTGTTCCAGAGCTCAGAAAACCTCCCATTTTAGAATAATTTCCAGAATCACTTCCTGGCCGAGTACTCACCTGTCCAGCCACTTCTGGAGGGTCTCTGGTGGAAGAAAGGAGTAGCCATTCCTCTGGTCTGGAGAACCAGGCCCTCCGTCAGGTTGCCTTTGAGAAATCTCTTCTCATAAGGCAGCCCTCCCCCCTCTGCCTAACAGGAGGCTTGGTTACCCAGAGGCTAGGGATGGTGGTGATGTGTGAGGCTCTCTGGTGATTCAAGATCACTCTTAGCCTATTAGATGCCTGGCTCTGAACCAAGTTCTCCATTAATTAGCCCCCCGAACTTATGCATAGTTAGTTACTTATGGTGGCACCCGAAGGGAAAGTGCGATGTTGGAGTGAAGGTTGTCAGAGAGAAGTGTGTGTGATGGTGTGGATGCATGAGAGAGAGAGAGAGACTGGGCGTAGTTGATGTTAATGCCAAGCCTTAGCAACTGAAGTACATAAAGCTGCATAAAGGACAACAGCAGGCATGGCTGATGCGTCTAATGGATCAAGGAGGCTGCAGCAAAACTGTATCTGTGTGTGCTTACCCAGAACTCTCTCTCTCTCCCCCCCTCGCTCTGTGTGTGTGTGTGTGTGTGTGGAGAAGAGGGGGCACGCAGCATCTGTTTGGGAGTCAGAAAGAACCTGCAAATGACAGCCTTGTTTGCCATTCATGGCAGTCTATCCTTTCTGCTTCAGGTTTCCCATTCCTTTCTGCATGACGTCTTTTCTATTCTCAATCCCCTCTGCCACCGACAGAAGCGTGCAACCTTGGGCAAATCACTTGGTCTCTTACTTAATTTTCCCATCTGCAAAATGGGACCAACGAAGGCCTGTTTGCCTTGCTCAGCATTTTAAAAATTAAAGAAGAAAAAGTATTGGCAAACAAATCATGGTTTCACTGCTAAGAGCACTGGTTTTTATACCCTTACATTCTCCCTCTTCCCCTCCCCTTTTTTCTCACTGTATCTCATCTGCAGCCATATTTCTTAGAGGGAAATTCTGCAATTATTTGTAGCCACCCACACAGGTGGGCAATTTCCAGTGGATTTGGGAACCTAGTCAGGTATTTAGCAAGCATTCGTACCCGAGAGAGAGAGAGAGAGAGAAGAAGAAGAAGAAGAGAGAGATGCAGTGCAGGGGTGGTACATCGATTCCAAGACTTGGGCAGAAGAAATAAACTCTGCAACAGCATAAATGAAGGGAATATCAATAGTCATTTCTACCCTAAAAGAAAACAGCCCAAAACTGCAATTAGAGAATGAAAAACAGGTCATTTCCCCCCAAATGGAGAAGAAATAACAGAAAGCAGTTTCTATCATTCCGTGAGCGCATGGAAGGACATTTTTGTTGTCACTGCTGTGAAAGCCGTATGCGTCTAGATACAAAGCCTTTCTTGGGCCAGGCTCGGTCTCTGAGCCTCACCAGCCTGGCAAAATTGGGAAGATAGTGAGAGTTGTGTGGGTGTGGCGTTGGCAGTCCTCCAGCTCCCTTGCTGGCCATCCTCGGAAACACAAACCTCTGCTTTGCGTGTTTGTCAGTGAGAGTTGTGTGGGTGTGGCGTTTGCAGTCCTCCAGCTCCAGCTCCCTTGCTGGCCATCCTCAGAAACACAAACCTCTGCTTTGCGTGTTTGTTTAAAAAGAGGAATGGGAGGAAGGACAGGCACCTT